ACAATAAGACTTGACTTATTCTATGACAAAAAAGGGAAACAAGCATAAAACAATGTTAAAAATGATAAAAGGAAGGTTAAGATAGAAATCATCTGTATCTGACCCGGTACTGTATCTATATCTTTCCCTTGGACTGTATCTGCGACTGTTTCTGGCCAGCAGACATTCGTGGCCGACTCTGTCAAAGTCAGCGGAAACACAATTGCATTTCATTTTTTACAGCCGCGCCCTCGCATCTATCCATAGTTTTAATTGCTCCAGGGCTTCCCTTCCGCCATGCCACGCCAGGCCACGCCCACTGTGGCATTTCTGCGTTTTTATTCCCGTATTTTTTTTAGTGCAGCACATGTCCGGTTCCATTCCACCAACTGCAGTTCGATTCCGCGGGGCCTGCTGTGTGACAGTCGCTTCTGGAGGGAGGTCAGAAGGTACACAGAAAAACATTCCTTTACATAACTACTTTAACTGTTATGTATAAAAATCCAATAGATTTGTATAAACAAAACAGAAATTCTTTTTTATTTTTTAAATGCTGAAAATATTTCCCTTTTTTGGTGTACTTTTCCCCACTGACCATCGGTGTGGGCTTGCTAAACTGTCAGTTTACGGCGGAGTTTAAGCGTTTAGTGGGCGGGCATACCGCACACACACACATGAGGTATCGGATGCCACATGCAACACGGGCTTAAGCCCTGCAGCTCAGTTCGCACATTCCCCGAAAAGTATGCTAACACTTTTGTTTAGTACAGCCCGGAAACGCATGGATTACAACGCGAATATAACGTATGGCAGAAGCTCGATGATACGAGATCTAATTTAATATTTTAGTTGACATGTGAATTTTCTTATAATGCTTTGTTTTTGTGTTATCTTATTAGTCAACCAGCCTATACATAATCGAAATACGAGGATTGCCCCAACCGATAGAGAATCTGCACATAGATCTCCCTCAGTTTGTGGGGTTTGCATTAATTCTAAGTAAAAACCGATTTTTTATATCATTCACTACAAGCCTTTAACGCCATAACAAAACACAATGAATATTCGAGGGTCAGAGCTTGCGCCCATAAAAAACTGGTGATAACCCCTCCGATATGAAAGGCAAATTAGTTTTCTCTGGCATCGCAGTATCTCTGGCATGACAGTCGACCTTTTTAACCCCAGTTTGCCCTCAAAAGCGGAGGGGAATAAGTCCCTGAAATGCGAGTAATGTTATTGTTGCTGACAGGACTCAGAATCCAGCATACAGGATCCAGTATCCAGTATCCAGTATCCACTATCCAGATTGCCGCCGGCTGCTGTGCACCCAACTAAAATAAAACAGGAGCAAGTGAATTGTGTGCACTGCTTATTGACAATCTTGCAGTGTGTTTTTTCGCATTTCGCTGGCTGTTTGCATTATTGTCAGCCGAAAACAATGGGAGGGGGGCGGGGAGTGCCTGGTTTTCCACGGCCCACGCATCAGATAAACAATAATGTCAATTTCATAAAAGCAAACACTCGTTGTCATTCAAATTCAGCGAAGGCAAACATTTTCCGCACTCAACGCCCTGAATGCCAAAGGGAAGAGCAATCGATTGAAAATATATATATATTTCCCAATTCATGCATGGCTGCTGCTATATTGATGGATTTATTTCTGCCTATCAAATCAGGGACGTTAATTAAAGCGCGATTCCTTTTCCTTTTGGGTCCTGGCCCATATCCTTTTGCATAAATGCAAGCATTCAAAAGTTCAATTAAGTCGGAGTATTGCATTTTGCAGCGTTGCAGCTAAATAAATTATTCACGCCTGACATCAATTGGTTTACAATTATTTATTTAATGGTCACTTGTATGCACGAGTTTGACACAAGACTCTTTAATCATTTATCACGGAAGGAGAGTCCTCAATGAGGAGGCTTTATCAAAGGCAGGTTATTTAATTGCCCTGTACTTGAAATAGTTTGTAAAGTGATGAGTGCTTATTAAGGTGAACTATGTGGAGTATTTTAGAGTGGAATGAGAAATGAGATCTGTTAACTTTATTCTCACACTTATGTTGGTAAATCCCTATTTAATTTTGTTACTTTTATTTGCATTAAATTATAATATTAAAAACCCCATTTACAGCATGCAGGCATTCCTTTTAGTAACAAACAGAAAAAACCCCTTCAATTTATGAATTCATTTCGCACTTTTATTAAACAATTAATCCAATTACTATTTGTTTTTCTGATTACATTAATAAGTACATATTAATTTGCAATTCATGTAATTAAAAAAAAAAAAGAAAAACACATTCCGGGCAGGAATAAAAAGCCGCCTTGATTGAGTGTTTCATAAAATCATAAATCTTGTTTAACTAATTACAATTCAAAGGCCAACCTGGAGTGAGTGAGCTGACTTTTGAATAAATGAAATGGTTATTGATGTGCCTGGGAAAAAAGAAAATGATGATTTTTGGGGTCCGCGATCAGAGTGCGGCGGCCATTAAACAGGGCCACAAAGCTAAAGGCCATAAAAAACGCAATATGCTGCTGTTTTATTTGATTTACTTTTATTATTGCCTGGCCCAGAGATAGAGACCGTTGAAGTATAATGATTTGGCGGGCCAATTTTAAGCATAAAACGAAGGGCAAATGGTTCTGTGTCGGACATTTATGTGCTAGATTTTATGGCAATTTTGTTTCGGCTAAAACAATAAGAAGATATATACACCAGTATGAGGACAAGCTGAATCGGAATCTGATGCCCATTGTATGTGTGTGTGTGTGTGTGTGAGGGGAGCAAACGCATAATCTAATAATATTTTATGTGGACAGCATAAAAAGCACAGCACTTGAGAGTCCGTTGAACTTTCTTTCGGAATTCGGGTTTTCTTCTTTTTCGTCTTTTACTCCAATGTCAAAGGACGGCAGGATGAGCATTTCCATTGACCAACAAAGACAGAAAAATCCATGCCAATTTATTGAAGTTTTTGCCTTTGGCCAAGGGCCATAACGAGCAGAACGAGCCAGCTAGCCAGCTAGCCAGATATCCAGTATCCATTCTGAGAATGCGAATTTTATGATGATGCCTTAAAAACACTCGCAAAAACACACACACACACACACACTCGCACACACCCCTCCATTAAGGGCGCAATTAGCATTCAGATTGCGCATACGCCGTGTATGCTGCACTATTTATCCCTGTGTTTCATTTGCATTTTCAATAGTTTATTATACCCAGCATTGTTGGAACTCTTAACGCGCTCCGGGCATTAAAGCCAAATGAGCTGAAAATAATGGCAGTACGAGTATCTATTAAGATTTAACGAGCAAAAAGCGACAAACTAGTCGGGCATCAAGCGGAAATCGCTTGTGAAATATCATTTTCCATTTTTCATTTCCCATTTCCATTCCAGCAACATTTTAACTGGCCAGTGAATGAAATGATAAGTTAGTCAATCAGTTGATTATAGCCATCTAAATATAACATTGCCAAGACGAAAGCTTTAGAGAAAGATTTCTGAAATGAATAAATAAAACGCTAAATGGCCGGAGAGTAAAAATAAATGCCAGGCGAATTGAGAACGCAGAAAGGCCAAGCCAACAAATTTAAGCATATATATCAAATACAATTCCCCCTCTATTTTATAATATCCATATAAATATATATATATAGATAGATAGATAGATAGAGAGAGAGATACATGTTTGTCTGTGACTGACACATACCTTACCCAGCGCATGTGTGGGCGTTTGATTGCCGTGCATGTGTGTCTGTGTGTGTGTTGGCCAAAATTCCATCAACTCGCGTGACGTCACAGCTGTGACAGAGATTCCGCGGGGAAATTATGCCATTGATTAGCTCGCGGCTCATGATTATGGCCATCCTAACGAGGATGATGACGATGTTGCTGACGAGGAGAATGATCATGATGATGATGCCAGTAATGACGTGTCAAACGGCAGGCGACACTCCCCACACACACACACACACTTACTTAGAGGCAGACATATGGCGGAAACTAAAATTGGCTAATGGCCGTTCTCACCCATTCCATTTGCTAGTTTCCATACTGGGATCCTATTTGGGGTTTTTGGAAGGGAGCTCTCTGAAGGGACTAAGAGTCGTGGGAAAAACCCACTTTTAGCTTGCACTACTTGGGAATTGTAGGTGAACACATTCATTACTTCAATATTAAGATTTCATCAGCGCTTTAAACTATTTACTTAACTTCTTTTAGATAGAAAGTTTCTGATTTAAGAATAGTTCAAGTTTATAGAATTAAGTTCGAGAATGTATACTTTAAGTTTTTCTCCTTGTCGAGTGGCAGTTAAATATTATATAATAATAATTTAAATCACCTAAAAAATACTTCAAATTCTTAATGTTTCTATAATAGAAGAAAACTTTCTCATTTTAGTTTCCTATCTCATTTTACCCTTACCTTCTTACTCCGCTGAGTAATTAACTTTCTGGACCTTTTCTAAGCTTAAATACATTTTAAATATCTTTCCCAAGACGATTATATTATTTTTATAATATAAATATAGAGCTCATATCACTACTACTAACTAATTTCTATCGCAGAGACTTCCCTGAGTGGGCTGCTATTTTTTGCCAATTTGTTATCTGCTGTTTTGGACAGGCAGCATCCCAGGACCTCACTCTCGTGGCCACTTGAGATGGCTAAAAATACCAGCCAGGATGTATATGTGCGAATGTGTTGGGGGTCGAGGGTCAGGGGACGAAATGGTAGATAACATTTTAAAGCAATTTAGTTTTCATCGCACACATTCTGCGAAATATATTGATTGCCGATGCCACAATCACGTACGCAGGACCAACGTACCGTTGGGTGTGTGTGTGAGGGGGTTTTTGTCGATAGTTTGGCACTTACATTGCGAATTCGTAATGCAAATGCAAAATACCGAAGCCATAAATTATGCGTCCCCCCAACCACTGATTGCCCCGCTTTATGATGGAAATTACAATTTGTCACCATTTGTTATGTATTTGCATATTTGCAGGCAAAATGAATATTGGCATCGCAGCACCGAAATGGGATAAATTGTCGCCGCGCGAATTTTTGCAGCTGCAGGAGTTGGCCTCATGTAAGTGAAAAGCAGTAAATCAAATTGCACTAATCAAAAGCAAACACATTTGCATGGGGGGGGGGAGGGGAAATAATCAAGCGAAATCATGGTCAATCCAACCGCCCTTCATTATGCCCTTTTGTACTTTCCCTGCTATTGATAAATAGTCCAATTAAAACATTTTTCATTCCCTTTGATTTGCATTTAACCATAACCAATCACGTTGGCCAGCATGCGCATAAATATTTGCATGACTTTTGAATTTCTGATGAGTTATGCAAGCTGAAAATGTTCATATATGGCAGTGAGGGATCATAAGTTTAACTTCTGTGAATGAGATATTAGTTATTTTTGTAATTTCTACACAAGATTTGGTTGTCTTTGATAGTGAGAAGCTGAGAATATGAGAAAGTACTTAAAATAAAGCCCTTTTTCCATTTCAAGAAAGTTCATTTTTAACCATTTATTAACACTTCCTAAAATCCCTTCTAGTCGTACCTTTTTATAGATACACCTATCTCCTCCAGTTAGCCAAAAAAAAAAGATACAAATTTCCCATTACCGCTTACTGCAGTTGCATTTACATTTTCGCTTGGCTGGCATGGCACTTGCAGCTTCAGCAGATTTCTCATGACAGCTGAAGCTTGAGGAGCGCATCTTAAAGAGCGACTCTGTGGCAGCATCCTTTCCACACATCTGGTGCACATCCCCCAGAGTTATGTCTGACACTGTTTGCATTCTTTGCTGCAGCAGCAAAGCTGTTTGACATGGCAAAGTAGTTTACCTTTGGGTGAGCACTCGTTTCCACCTCATCCCAACGGTTGCCCAGGCATTGCGAATTACACGGAACGGCAAATGGGAATGCTGAGCTTATGGATTATGGGATATTACATGGAACGTACAGTAAGTCTGCTTGCTGAACTTGGTCCACTCTTAAGACCCACTTGGATGATGATGGAAAGGGCCGCGTTTCTGCCAGTGCACCTGGCTGAGCAATATTCCCTTCGAAATCGAAGAAGCTCCGAACGAACGTCAACATGAACATAAAAATTTGCCGAGAAAAATGTTGTAACATAAAAGGTTTAAAGCAAGGAAATCCAGCTTTGCAGAATCATAATTTATCAAAGGAAAAAGAAAGAGCTTATAGGGAGTGTCCTCTATATCTGAAGATAATTTTTAATGACAGCTTTTCTAGGAGAAGAAAGGTTATTAAACGAAATACAAAGTTTATTTTACAATTCTAAAGCTGGCAAAGTCAGCCAACTCATTAAACAATCTTTAGAAATTAATAATTAAAAGACTTTTTAGAAATTTTACTATGTATTTAACCAGTTTAGTACTAGTTTGATCGTGTATTAAAAAATCAAATTAGTTAAGCTAACACCACTTAGTTAAGGAGCCTTAAAGACTAGGAAGGTGTCCTTTTTTTGGGTGTAGCTCCGTCGCGGCGGAACCCGTAGTGCAATTTGAGATTGTGGCCATTCAGGAGGCGTGGCACAGGATAAATGGGTGCGGCTGCAGGTGCTTATTAGAGTGCGGTTAAACTGTTTTTAGTCTGCGGTGCAGCCCCGAACGAAGGCCATCAAAAGTGTCAGGAGCAGCTGGCGTTGCCATGAAACAGAAACAGAAACTGCAAATGAAAGTGGAACTGCAAGAGGAAGTGAAGAAGAACTGGAACTGCATTCAAGTGCAGACACTCTGCACAATTGCGGTTGTACACTGGCAGACACACAACTCTCTCATTAGGTTAATAAAACTCTGGGCTCAACATTTCGGGCGAGGTAAGGCTCCCCGTGGAGTTTATTCCGGGCATTTGTAGAGTCATGTCAACCAACTCGTCCAAGTCATCCAGTTCATCCGCACCCTCACCCGCATTTACCAGCACGAACCACTTGTTTTCCATTAGTTAATTATCCCCACTGCGCTGCAGTTGACCCGCCTGAGTCACCTGGGGAAAAACACCTGTCCACCACGGCTGGCCCACTTAAGACGTCGATTTAATTCACCTGGCGCCAGTCGAGCGATTGACGTGTGTCCTGCCACTCGCCTCGTCGCAGCCGTGCTAAACTGAACTTTGCATAATCCCTGGCTTACTCTGCTGGCTCACCTGTGTCCTTTCACCTGTCTTACATCTTGCAGATTCCACCCGAAAGCTGCAGGATGTTCTGCGGGAGTTCAGCTCGCCGAGTGCCGCCACCACGCCCAAGTGCATTCCGGATGGGGTAAGTGTTGCCAAAATCTTATGCTCTTCTCCTGCAATTAATTGAAAGCGGTTGGGGATGGGTGGGAAGTTGAGATGGAGCTGGAGCAGGAGCAGGAGTGGTAGTGGAGACCCTGCTCAACGCACAAGTCAAGAGCTCCTTTCGCTTCAGTTCGGGTTACGTCTTACACTTTAATCCTCAACCTGGCGACTTGGGAAGACCGATGAAAGGCGATTCAGCTAAGCTTAAGGAGGAAACTCACATGTGGGGGCACTGAGGGAAATCGTTGGCTTTGTAAATGGCATTAAGCTTATTTTAAAAAATCTATTTTATCGGTTATTAGAAATAAGTGTAAATCTAACTAGGAAAGAAAATTGTTAGGAAAGGAATGAAATCCATATAAAAAAGATAACGAATACGATTCTTAGAATTTATTTCTATAATTCGAATTAAATTGTTCACTTTGCTGGCACTAAATCGTTTTCGTTTTCCATCTCGAGAATTTGTCCAAGAAATTAAAAAGATTTTTCTTCTAGTATGTTGGCACTGACAAGGAGCAGGAATAAGAGCAGGAGCAGAGCTTACTGAATAGAGATTAGGTAAGGGATGGGGAAAGGGGAGAGATCAGGGGAAAGGGCAGTCAGGTGGGGCGAAAGATTGAAAGTAAATGTTCTTATACGTACAATAAATCACAGACTTTTCAAGTTTACGCCTGAATGCGAAATTGGAATTGAATCCCAACAGAGACAGACACTGAGCTGGCCACCCTTGTACCCGAATGAATAACCTGACAAGTTTATACATACTAAATTAATTTGAAACTGCCTGCAAGGCCATCAATTCGGTTAGATTCGAGATCCGGGAGATTGGAGCATGAGCCACTGGAGCTGCATAAATTGTTACTCTTTCATCGGGGACAAGCGAGTCCAAACGAATGCCCAGATCACGTCAGGTTACCAAGGTAGAGGGACAAGAGGACTTGCAGTTTGCATAGTAATATACATTTTTAATTCGGGACTTTGGAATCATTGAAGCCAGAGAAGCATATGCAAACGGGAAATATTCTCGGTTTTCCTTTTTGTTAGCCGGTTTATCATTTGTTTTCCCAGCGTAACGAAATGGAAAAAGTATAATTAAGTTTCCGTCACTCCGGCTAACCCCACCCCAGGATGCCTTTCACATGCTCGATTCGAACGTGAGTGAATGATTCCATTGGAATTCACTTTGATATTGAACACCCTGAGCGGGACGGAACGGGAAGGTACGGGATGTTCGAGTACTTCTAGCACTCACTGTTTGTCATTGCCCGGAATTTTTCGAACAAATGTAATTCCCGTAAATATTTCAGTAAGCGAAATGAATTGAGATGCCACGAGATGTGTGCTTCTGCTGCCTGGCAACATTTCTTTTTTTCTTTACTTTTCCTTTTTCCTATTCCAAGTAAGCAGCTTACATATCCTGCATCCGCCCGCCGACAGCTTTAACTTTCACTCAATGATAGCTTGTCTTTAAGCCGGGAAGATCCAATTAGGTTAATTAAGAGCAGCTTGTCGCCAGGTGGCTATGAAAAAGTATATGTTTTCCGCTGAATTTTCCCCAACAATTGGTCACTTATGGTAAAGGGAGGTGGGACTGGGGGAGCTTTAAAAACCAGGAGCACGAAAAATGTGAAATAGAGCCCATATGGCTATAAATTATGTCCCGAAGCATACTGCGATGCATAATGAATGCAGAGCGCAGATTAAGTTCGCCGGAGTGGAGTGAAGATGAGTGCCAAATGGCCCGTATGCGGGACTTAACGTATGTGTGTATGTCTGTGTGGGTGTGTGTTTGCGATTAGAGAGTGTAATGAATATCACGCATACGCACCGAACACCCGAAATGTGCTTGAATATTTATTCATTAAGCCACGCGCTCACGCATAGCGTCACATAACGCATCCCTGGGAATACCAGCGGAGATTGAGGCCAGGAATACAGCAGAGGTTACAATAATAGATATTCCACTTCTTATTTTAATGTTTTCTGAAAATATGTTTTTAATATTTTAATAATTTTAGGAATATGCTATTTATTTTTCAATTCTGTAGCATGTTAAATACGATAGTGCTTTTGTGATATCTCTTTCTTTGTTTAACTCTCCTTTTCCCTTATCCCCGCTCATCCGTCAGCAAGTACATGCATTCGATCTCTTATTCGAAAACATATGATAGAAAGGGAGAACAATATAAGGCTTACAGCTATTCGATCTCTTATTCTAAAACATGTGTTAGAAAGGGATAACAATATATGGCGTACAGCTATTCAATAGTACAGTTGGAACTAAACTACATGCAGCACAGTGGGCCTCATAAATATGTGTCCTACCACAATTCCTAATTAACTTATACTAAGATATGTTGATATGTTGAAGTTGGTCAAGAGCTTGTCAAAACTAAAAAATAGACCTACAAGCCGGTGTATATCAGTAATCAATATCTGAAATTTGTCCCTATAAACAACCTCTAAGTACGAAAATAAAAATTAAAACTAGGATATAAAAACAAAAAAAAAATATGTAATGTAATGTAAAAAGAGAGTCCTATTATCTTAACCCCGAGTGTAAAAGTACATAGGGAAAGTTAAGAGAGGAACCCCTCCCCTGAAAAGCAGCAAACGAGGAGCGGATGGAGAGCTCTTCGCTGGCGTATCTCGTTGCTCCTTGCTGGCTAAATAAATTTTGCTAACGCAATTCGCGCCATTATTATAGTGCTCAAGCGTGTGTGTGTGTGTGTGTATGTGACTGGGTTGTAATTTATGTGTGTGGCCATGGGTGTGCGTATCTGTGTTTGGGTTTACAATATGCCGATGTTTCTCCACTTAGGCGTGTCGCTGCCATTTGCGTTCACTGGCTTTAAGCAGTTTGCCTCGGCACTCGCAGTAACATGGCTATATAGCCATAGTCATGGTCGTAGACCATATATATAGATGCTGGTGTAGTGCCAGCCAACGACACGCGTATAAACTTCCATTTGCCTGTATTGGGTTTCATTATGGCCAAGGATCCAGCAGCCAGCAAACAGTCAGCAAGTGTTTGGATGCACAGAGAGAAAATCTGATTGGTCTTGCTTGAGGGATCTGCATTTTAAGAGATATTTCTCCGTTAAAAGTAGTTTCACTAAGGAAATACTTACTGTTATTACCTCTTTTTATCCTAAAGAATATACATTTATTGCATCTCTTACTGAAATCTTTTTCCCTGTAAACCCCAAACCTCAGCGTCCTCTTAATGTTACCAGCGCCGGCTCGTTTACTTTGTTTTATGTTTCGAAATTTAAAACGAAGCAAAATAGCAACAGAAGAAGCGGCGGCTCATGATGAGTCTGATAATAAAGGCAGATATTTCCAGTAGAAAAGATATATTCCTGGGAAGCGTGGAGGGCCCAGATTCCACTGATTATTTCATTACTTGCGACACGACTCGCTGCCTCTTGCGCAATTAATCGCACCCATCCAACGCACTCTGACACACACAAAACCATCCCCGTTGAGTTGTTAGTCTTGATTAGCTGTTATCCTCGAAAGGGAACTGGGAACCGAAACCCAAAACTGAAACCGAAACTGAAACTGGCAACTGTAAAATCCGTACAGCCCGGGGCTTTACGTCTATCAATGTCAGCGATTGCCGGCGTCTATCAATGTCGCATTGTTGATTCAAGCATTGCGCCGCAGCTGTCAATGTATTGACATTACACGTGGTGTTGACATGTAATTTGCCCCAATACCCATACAGCCAGGTTCCGTTCTGCATCCATAAAAACTTGGCCCGTACTCGACAACGAACCCATTGCCAAATGGCAAATAAAGAGGCGCCAGATCCTTGAGGGACATTCCCCGGCACGTACCAGGCGAATGGAACCTTTTCCCAGACAGAGAGAGAGCTCGGATTTATGTGGGAATTTGTGCACTGGACAAATGTAAATAGAATGGCTTACGACTGGCCGGCCAGTCGCCCACAGGAGAGAATTATGTATTCCGCACGCGTAAAATGTGAAATTTTAAAGCAAAAATCTCTGCTTGATATGTTGGGAATTCACTGATATTTGACCTTCAATTAGACCGCAAATAGGAGCCGTCTCGTAGTAAAGTATCATTATTAAGTCCGTGGAGATAAATGTACTTTCGCCTCACTTGCCACGCAGAAAATCATCTCTGAATGTGTCGCAATATGGCGACCATTTATTAATCATACGCTCCGTTGTCAACGGTAATAAAGTCGATGACGGCGGTCGCTTTGTGTTCCCCTCTTCCTTTCCCCTTGTAATATGCGAGAGAGAAATGAGAGGCCCTCGTTGAAGCCAACTGCAAAATGTTTTTTGCCATAATAACGTCAACATATTATGTTGCATAAGTAGCATCCTTCCAGTCCCTCAGTTCTACGTTCTCAGCCCACAGAACCAATCTCATCTGCCACAACAAACCCGATGCCACTCGTAAAACTCGGCTGCCAAAGCGGCAGTGGAGAGAAAGAACTATGCAACGACGAGTGTTTTGCACACATTTTAGCTTGTCACTTGTGAATGGCCTGCGGTAGATTTATTTCATACTCCTGCAGTGGGAGAAAATAGGTGTAAGGTTTGGGTTTTATTCTTAAATAATGGATTTATATGTTTATCGTTGTTCAGATTTAGATTTTATATCGAATTCATGGATTGTCTAAGACAAGCATATTATTAAGAACGCGGTTTTCCCTCCCTATCCTGATCATTGGTCTGAAAGAAGTTGATTACCGAATTGTTCTGGTTTTTGTTTTAGGCTAGAATGGCAACCCAAAGTTCTTAGCTTAAGCCAAGATCTCCTTTTTATTTCTTCAAATGTTTAACTTTAAGCCTAAATAGAACCATGTGCCTTGTTGGCTTATTAAAAACAGACAAAACAAAGGCCGCCCATAAATCATTGGATGGGCTTGTTTTATTTATACGTTTTATTCCAACTCTTTTCACAGGACATTGATTTCGATGGGTTCCGGCGGTTCCTGGACGCGTTTCTCGACTGCGAGGCGCCGCTGGACCTGGCCAAGCATTTGTTTGTGTCCTTCCTCAAGCCGAATGTCACCCAGGCCCAGCTGCATGGCCGGGCACTTAATCAAATGGCCGCCATCAGCAGCACGGCCGCCTGTGCGCCAGTCACGTCGCACACGAAGGGTAAGAGATCCTCCTTGCCACCCACATTTCTACTCACATCCTCATCCACCCCATCCACCACCCACCGTCGTGTGTATGTGAATAATTGCTGAACATTTCTTTTGGCCTTCCCCCATCAACTCGCATCCTAACCGCCTGTAATTAGGCTCCATACCGAACATCAATAGCATTGCCGAGCTGATGCCGCAGTGCAGCGGCAGTGGAGGCGGCATCGGCGGCCCAGGGGGCGTGGCCGGAGGCGAGGGCCACGCACAGACCCGCAGCAGCTTTGTGGACAAAATCCATGGCATCACGGATAAATTACACCACTCACTGGGCGGACATCTCTCACACGATCCCAGCAAGACGGGTGAGTTACACGGGGAACAAAATGGGGCCCTAGTGCTAGGGAAGAGAACTTCGATTTTCTTTATACTTTTCTTAAACAAATATCAATAAATATACAATTTTAATTTCGGAACATTTGCTCATTTCGTAGACTTGCAGTTTTCTAAATTTATTTATTTATATTAAAATTCCCAAAGTAAAGATTTTTTTTCTTGGTATAGTAAAACTTTCTCTGCTTTCTGGCACGTGTTTGATATATCCATTCTATTCTATTGACCGGGCCATTTAACAGGCAGCGTCCATCCGATGCTCACCGTGACGCCGAGTCCCTTGGCCAGTGGACCCAGCATGTTCCAGGCCAGCAATCCGGCCCGGCGATCCGTGGACTCGAGTCCCTCCCACTCGGCGACAAACCACTCGCAGATGTCCCGCAACTCCTCGAAGAAGAGTAACAATTCGGTTAATTGCAAAATTGATGGTGAGTATTAATTAGGCATCTTTGCCCACATCCCCTGCCCACATCCAGATCCGCATACCCCTTATGACTTCGTCCGCTGAAATTGCTATGTGCATGCGACTTCCAATTAAGACGCTTATTGTGCAATCAGCATGTGATGTGAGCGGGGATTGGAAAGTGGGTAGTGGAAAGTGTATAGTAGGTGGGCCATCTTGGCAGCTGGAAGTGCACAGCCAACTGATTGGCCTGCCAGCCAACAGACCATTTCGGGGAGAACAATTCAAATGCGAAAATTAACCGTCTATGTGCGGAATGCTCCATTTGTTCGGGGAAAACCAACTTTGGTGATTGCTTTCTGAATGGAGAGCAGCATTTGTTATAATGGTTTTACATTTTTAAGGGGCTCTGTGATTTTAAATACAAAAGGTGTAGGGTGAAACTTAAACTATATAAATATTAACAATTATAGTGGATTTGAAAAGCTTTTTATAAACTTCAAGGAATGTTCCTTAGAGAAAGGATTTCATCACACAAATTACATATCCATCTTTACAAAAACCGTAGTAAATGTAAGGCATTCAAGAATAAATATCTAGATGTTAATAGCTATAAGATTATCTGTATCATATTTATCACCTTTTTATATTTCAAGTGATAAAACTGCAATGTGACTGATAAAAATAAATGGTGTAACTGCAGCTCATTCAGATGAGCTAACTAAGCTGGAAATCCACGCTTATTTGCCATTTACTTAGTTAACTTTCTCGCTAACTTACTAATTAGTGGAGCGAGCACAAAAAGCAAATATCAACACGGAAGGAAAACAAGGCAGACATTCGCTAATTCATGAGTTCATAAATTATGGACCACCGACCGCCGCCCAAGTTGCAGTCCTTAGAAAATGTGAAACTTGGCACAGGAAGTCAGTCTTCCATCTTGTCCCCTTGCTTCTTCCTCCCCATCTTCCGCTTCTTCTGACACAACAACAAAGAAAAGCTGAAATATAAAAAAAAAAAGGAAAGCTGAGCGACTCTTGTCTCAGAGATCGTGTCGTAAATCAACGCCCAATTAGAAACATTTTTGCATTTCACGAAGTCGCAACTCGTAAAATGCGAAGCCTGCGTTAAATTAACATTTATTGCTCACACACACACACACACACAGGCAAACGGACACAGCAGCAAGGCGCCAGGACCCTGCAGGGCATTCCTACGCACACAGATAAAGACGAGGCGCACTTGCGGCCTGAAAGTATGCAGCAGTATTTTTCGCCTCTTTTTTCTCCCTTGTTTTGTTTCCCTTTTTGCTTTCATTCATTTCGCTTCGTTTGAAATGTGTACGAGAATGATTAATGAACGTAAATTTCGCCTTTTTTTTCCCTCGTTTTTTGCGCTTTTGTCGCTGGCCAACAGTTTCACGCATTTTGCCAGCAATTGGAAGGCATTGTCCTGGAAGTTCAGAGGGTGGAGAACACAGCAACAAAAAAATGGAAAGGAAAGGAAAACAGTACATATGTATCTAAAAATCCGTATTTGGGGAAGAGAGAGAGGAACCAAAACTGAGGATGGCTAATAAAGATTTTCACTTTTGGCAAAAAGTAATCTTGGCTTAGCTTCGGCTTCACTTATATCAGCAAATTCTTTCGGCATTCGTTCAAGGCTGTAAAATAAACAAAAATGGAAAAAAATCGAAGATATATATTTTAGTTGTTTAAAACACTTTAAGGTCCGAATCTAAGCAATATTTGGAAAATATAATAGAAAATAAATTGAGAATCATTGTCAAATATTTAGTAATAATTTTAATATTATTTGTTATGGTTTTTGAAAACTATTCCTATTTATTTCTTTGAACTTCAACTTTATTGCATAAAAATTTAAATATTTTTATATATTTCTTTAATATTTTAGCTAGAAATTGCTCAAAACTTAATAATTTAAAAAATTAAATGAAATTCCATTGAAAGTTAAACACTTTCCAATGTTTTTTCTCTCTGTAGTAAATTACGCAAAAGGCGAAAGGACGAGGCCCAGTCAGGAATTTCCTATTAGCATTATATATTAAGTACAACAAGGACCTCGCTTCCTTCCACCGAGTGTACGTGTGTGTGTTTGTGTGTGTGTGTTTTGAGCGCCTTAAGCGCTAATTGGATTAGTTTTGCTTTGCTTTTTGTACACCGCCTTTGTGGCTGTGTGTGTGTGCGTGAATTAAATTTATTAGTCCAAATGTAGGCCGGCAAATAAGTTGACATTGATCCTGCACACACACACACACACACACAAACTCAGCCTGTTTGCTCAAGTTGCCTGCACTCATCGCGAAACCGACAGCCTCATTTAGTTATTAAGAAGAAGCCCAAATATTAGCATTGTATCTGGCACACAAATACATTTACATATTCAGATATATATATATATAGATATATATATATTTTAATTTATTGCCAACAAACGCTCCGACATTAGGCAAACATAATTAGCTAAAATACAATCATCTCCATGTCTTTTTCGGGTGTTTGTCTAACTTAGATGGCAAGTCCCGCTCCGCCAGCATTAACATACAAATTACCACATCAACGGCACACACAAATGGCCTGTCAAAATAATAAAAGATGGAAATCATTCATATTCCCGAGCAGGCGAACAAACACACAGCCAAGCGAAAGTCAGGGAAAGTTCCTTTGAAAATTTCTAAACAATTTACTGGGCCATTCAGAGCACTTTGATTTCAATTCATTATGTAATTACGTGGGATTTGACTGCAAATCAAGGGGGAGTACTGCAGGGCCGTAAGATGGGGGAGAAAAAAAAGGTGAATAAATTTGTAATTATGGCAAAACAAAGTTAAACGAGCCAAAGTATCTGGAGCATAAGATGAGAAAAGTTTTTGGGTCGCAGGCTCAAAGCATTAAAGGCAAGTACTACCTCTACCTCTGCCTCTACCTTCCTTCCCAGCCACATTAAACTGGAAAACAAATTGAGGCAGCATTTTCCGAACTCAACTTCGAGTTCATTAAGAGCCATAACGTAATGCCGGCTACTGGCTACTGGCTACTGGCTTTTGGCCCGGTCAAATGTCGGCAATTAACATTAAGCATAATGGCAACTGGCTGTCAGCTGTCGATGGCATTAAGAATAATGAGGGGCATCCACTCTGTCACCCAAGGAGCCGAGCACTTAATGAATGCACTTGCTCATGCACTTCCCAGTCACTCACACACTTTCCTCTTTCACTTGCAGCTGACATTAAGCTCCTGGCGCGAAAACTTTCCCATTTTGATCCGCTGACACTCAAGGTCCCGCTGAAGGATGTCGTCTGCTATTTATCACTGCTCGAGGCTGGCCGTCCAGAGGATAAACTGGAATGTAAGACTTCGATCCGACAACTCCTCCTTCTGCTCCTCCTTCTTACTTATTTATTCATTGCATTGCAGTCATGTTCCGGCTGTACGACACGGATAGCAACGGAGTCCTGGATACGGCCGAAATGGATGCCATTGTTAATCAGATGATGGCCGTGGCCGAATATCTCGGCTGGGATGTCAGCGAACTGCGTCCGGTGAGTGCCGGTTAAGACCGGCTTACATTAAAAACTCATTACGCGATTGCAATTGCAATTGCAATCGATGCAGAGGATATCCACTTACAGCACACCCCCACCCTCAACCCCTTTATCAGTCGCCCTGCCTTCTGAGCCCTGCGTTTGGCGGTCACGATTCCCGAAACCCGTTCAACTACTCATTGACCCAATCCAATCCCATTCAATCCAATAAAACTTTTTCAATTACTTACCAACATTTTCAGCGGCAAACACAACAAAGCACCAAACAAAACACAACGGGAAAAACACTTGAAATTAATTTCGCTTTATTGTTTGGACATTCGACGATAGTCCCAGCTTAGCTGCACTGAAAACAAAAAACCAGCCACTTTAATGGGGATTAACTGTTGTGTTAAGAACGAAGGTTAATTAATGGGAAAAGTATCTGAAGTATCAGGGTATTATTTGTGCTTTACTTTTCTTCTTTATGACTTAACTTTTTGATAAAATTCAACAATAAATATTTTTGATAATCAAAGTTGATAGAAAATATCATTTAAATTTCCCTCTTCGAAAGTATAATAATTCTCAACATAAATTAAACTCAGCTTGACTTGTTCAAAGACTAAGGATCATCTTTTTATATAGATATTATATCATCGAAATTCAACTCAGCTATAATGTTTAAAAAGGCGGCAGTGAACTTAATTAAAAAACATGTTTTTCGTTGTGTGTGGAAAACCCACGGCTTCCATTTCAACCGCAAATTTGTGGAGCTGCCGCAGCTACCACATCGCATAGGCGACTTAATAGTTTCAGCCATGGCAAAAGGAGCACGCTTAAAGCCATCCCTCTGACAACCAGGCCAAAGAGCCAACCCACTTCGTTGGCCGTTGACAAGGAAGCAAAGGAAAAAAGAAAAAAACAAAAATATATACAGAGAGAAAGGGAAAAACAAGAAAGAACTGCGACCGCAAATAAAGTCAAAGCGCCACAAAACTCAATTAACAAAATACCCCTGGCTATGGCGGAATGATTCCAGCCGCATTTCCCGCCACGTCCTCCACCCGGCCTCCTGCTATGGACTTCCTTTTCCGCTGGCCGGAGGAGCAGTTCCATTGCCATCGTGACTTTATGACTGCCGCATACTTTAAATTCTAGGCAGACACAGAAGATATTTTAATCAAAATATTTTTAGCCAAGTCCTGCCAAGAAGCCAAGTTCGGGTCAGCCTTTTGGCCCCCATTATCCTTTTCGCTTTCCGGCTGCGCCACACAAATAATCAAAGCACTTAATGAGTTGCATAATTCTGGCATTCATTTCCGGAGCAATATGAAATTCCTCAAGAAAAACAAAAAGGATTCGGAAGTTGAATAAATTTCCAAGTGAAATTTTCACTCCCCCTACTGAATATTTTATAAGGAAGATGAACTTGCACCGCATCGATATGTTTTTAGGAATTTCTTTGGCTTTAATTGAATTCAATTTTAAAGGTGTGTCTATAACAGCATATATCAAGAGTTAAGAGAGAAACTAGCCCTCAAAAAGTATTTTAAAATCTTAGAAAGTGTTTCCGAAGAAGCACATATTTGTACAGGAAATGCATTTGCCCGAAACCAGTAATAAGTTTACATTCCCCTCGACCAACGAGAAGTGCATTCCAAACAGGAAGTCAGCTTTCCGTTAAGTTTCATTCCATCTACAAATTACCCATCATGCACTTTTTTTTTTTGGGTCTCTGCACTCCACTCACTGCAATCCGCAATCGCTTTTTGTACTTACAGATCCTGCAAGAGATGATGGTTGAAATAGACTACGATGCCGACGGCACAGTGTCCTTGGATGAGTGGCAGCGGGGCGGGATGACAACCATTCCGTTGCTAGTGCTCCTAGGTGGGTAATTTCCCAACCTGCACAGGGAGAAAATATTCAAATTGGCTTTTAAATATAAAAGTTTTTAAAAACCCTTTAGTGGATTTTTAAAGATCGTTTCTTTAGCTCCGAAAGCTCTTAATTATTATTAGAAACCTCAAAAAGTTTGTGATATTTTCTCCCTGTGTGGCCATGCCTCCTTCCCGTGCTAAATGCGCCTTTGCCGGCTGAATGCCTTGATCTGTGACTGGTTGGCTGCTGCCGTAATAATCAAGTCATTTGGCCAGGTGACAGGAAGGAGAGGAAGCCAGCAGACGAGGAGTTGCTGCAGGCAGCAGCATCCTGGCCAACCCTCTATACGCTTATGCAAAGTGACAACTCTCCTGCTGCTTCTCCTTCCCCTCCCTGCTACATTGCCACCTGCAATCCCAACACCTCAATCTTCCCCAGGTGTCGACAGCACCACGCTCAAGGAGGACGGCATCCACGTGTGGCGCTTGAAGCACTTCAGCAAGCCGGCGTACTGCAACCTCTGCCTCAACATGTTGGTGGGTCTCGGCAAGAAGGGCCTCTGCTGTGTGCGTGAGTATCTGTGTGTGGAGCATCCGTGAGGGCTATTTGTGTGGGGTTTCCAAAGACAGGAAATTGTCTACTTCAATGGCCAAAGTAAAGTCTTTAAAGTCGTTTTGCCACCTAGAAGCCATAAAATCTCCAAGGAGTCCCATTTATCATTAAAGGATGATATGATAGGAAATTGTTTTCACATTTTTAGCTGGAAATAGTTTATGATTATCAAGAATTTAAACTTAATTTATTTGATTTTACTATATAGAAAGCTATATCACTTTCCTATGTTTAGATATACCATTTGATATGAGTTCAAAGTTTGTTTTTGTTTAGAATTATAATTATATTTTCTCATATCTGCCATAGCTTGTCCCTTTAAAGGACATGCTCCACTTAGTTTAAATTAAACTATACACAAAATGGAATATGCTCAAACTATAATTAGTTAGTAAAGCCAACTAACTGACATGCAATTTCATTATCATCTCTGACAGTGTGCAAGTACACGGTCCACGAGCGTTGTGTGCAACACGCCCCCGCCTCCTGCATCACCACCTACGTGAAATCGAAGAAGCCCAAGTGCGGTGGCGACCTACTGCACCACTGGGTGGAGGGCAACTGCTACGGGCGGTGCTCGAAGTGCCGCAAGCGGATAAAAGCCTACCACGGCATTACTGGACTCACCTGCCGCTGGTGCCACATGATGGTGAGTGTGAATGGGGATGACCTTGGGGATTTTGGTTTTTAAATATTGGAAAATGTGTCAAATGATGATGATTATTAGTCCTGGAAAACATATTTTCCAAGAAAAAGAAAGAAAGAAATCTGTTTAAGTCACAAATTTGAAAGCTTCTAACATTTAGATCTTAAAACCCAGCCACTTTCCATGCACGTTAATCGAATTAGAATCAATCCAAAGCAAGGGCAAATCAGATCTGTTTTGCCAGGGATTGTCGGCATTGTTTCGAAACAAAAATTCCAATTATTCGGAAAAACAAGGCAGCCTTTGGCCCAGCACTCTGTGTGCAGTTTTGTTGGAGCAGCCAGTGCCGTCGGTCGGTAGCTGTGATTCGCCGTTCGCAGTTCGCAGCCCGGCAGAAACACCAACACATCCAGTCCACATACCCATAACCCTAGCCATACTCAACGAATTCCCGGACCCGGATCCGATCCGGGCCACACATGAGCCGGCAACTTCGTTATGGCTGGCAAATTGTCACGTCCCAAGCAAATTGCGCCGCTGCTGCTGCTGCTGCTGCTTCTGCTTCTGCTGCTACCGCCGTTGCATGCCACCAACTTTTGTGTCCTGTGTCTTTGACAAGTGCAGCGGAGATAATGCCGAATTTGTTGTTGCCAGAGGGTCGTCGTCTGCGGGAGCGGAGGTCGGGAAACTTGGTCCTTCGATTCGGCTGCTGCTGCATCGGCAAATACTTTGTAAGCCAAACGTTGCCAACGCTTTTGACAGTCAATAACTTTGCATTTTGAGTGGATGTGTCTGTGTGTGCTTAAAGTTTTGCCAACGATAAGATGGGAATGTCTCCTGTCATCCTGTCCTCCGACATGAAATTCCTCACCACAAGAATTCCTTACCTAATGGCATTTCCCAAGCCAAAGTATCAATATCTGTTTAGAGTGAATACACAAATTTCCAATATGCTTTCCGGTAAGAAAAATGCCTTTTAGTTTAGTTTTTTGATCTATTAAACATTTTCAAAAATATTTTGAAAGGTTAAAGGCTTGTAAAGTTGCTTTCTATTTAAGAAAATGAAATATCAGTAACACAAAGTCTCAAAAAATATCTTCTAATTTAACGTTTCAAAAATTAGAAACCAACTTTAGTACTTTTGACCCATCGTAGCCAATAAGAGTGCTCTCCCAGCTGACATTTAATTATAAACAAAAAGTTTCGAGCCTGGTCATCAGTGAATGACCAACTGAAAATCAATTTCAAAGGCCGCAGCTGTGAAAAGAAATAATATGCAAAAAGGGAAGCCGCGTGGCCATTAGCAAAAAGTCAAGACAACGTTTTCGGCTAAATTGCTATTTAAATGAAAATCCGCGCCAAATCTCATTTGGGCCAAAATTAACCATTTTTTCCTGCACCGCGGCTGGAGTAGTCGGCGCTAACAAACTTTTAATCGGATTCATTAAGGCGGAATGAACGCTTGAGAGGAGCATCCCTCTCCTCTCCCTGCTCTTCCTGCTACTCCTCTGCCATCATAAGTGGCTTTTGGCCAGCAATGAAGTGGAAATTGAATTTAAGAGCTTCGAATTTCTATGAGACCGCGATATCCTGCGTTTTATTTAGATTTTGCCCGCCACTCCAACTAAACTAATTTGCTTTTCCCTCTTTCTTCCCCTCGATTTTAGCTACATAACCGCTGCGCCTCTTCGGTGAAGAAGGAATGCACTTTGGGCGAATATGCCGAGCTAATTGTCCCGCCCACGGCCATCTGTCCCGCTGTCCTGGATCGCCAACGTTCTGTTAACCAGGCTCACAAGGTATATATATATACTAATACTTAAAGCTTACCTTTCTTTCAACCTTCCTATGTTATCAATTTACTAAATTTCATTTGAAAGTATTAGATTATCAATAATAATTTTATTATTCAAAGTTGCATAGGCAAAGTTTACAGATTTGTGAATATTTTAAACTTTAATATTCATTATTAAAAGTCATTATCAAAAAAGATATTTTTTAATAACCAAGAACTTTTATATTTAATTAATATACAATTTGTCAACAACTTTATTAACCTTTTTAATGGAATTTTTTATCTAAATTAATTTTAAATGCAATTTGGCCATAGCTGGTCACACTTCTAATGCAACTCGTTCAAATTAATCACTTTAAGCAATTAATCAAACTCACATAATAAGGTTAAACTTTTTATAAAGAAAAAGAGAAAAATATACTTTGGATTTTGTCAAATTTGATTAAATCTCAAAACTAATTGTAACTAAACTAAAAGAGATTATTTAAGAACTTAAATTGCAAGTTACTACCCATATTTGTAGCATGCTTTTTAGGGCACACTTATTTTACTTTCTCCACTCAATAATTTTATTTAAAATCTAAAAACATATAACAACACCCTGCTGCTGACCCCCTGAATTGGCTAACTAACCCCTTTCCAAATTGACTTCCCTTCATCAAAATTATATACAAAAAACAACAAAAAAAACAAACCAATTGGAACTGCTGCTGCTTTGCGTCCACCCATTCCATATGACATCTATTCGCTGAACTCGTAACCAGAAATCCCAAATGCATCATCACCAGGCCACGCACTTTCAAATCACGCCGCCGGACGAGCTGAGCTGCCCGCTGCTGGTGTTCGTCAATCCGAAGAGCGGCGGTCGCCAGGGGGATCGCATCCTGCGGAAGTTCCAGTACATGCTCAATCCGCGCCAGGTGTACGACCTGTCCAAGGGCGGACCCAAGGAGGGTGTGTGTGTGTGAGTGATGGCCGTTCAAGCACGGTGATTGATTTCCGCTCTCGTTGTCAGGACTCACGCTCTTCAAGGACTTGCCCCGCTTCAGGGTCATTTGCTGTGGCGGCGACGGCACCGTCGGCTGGGTCCTAGAGGCCATGGGTAAGTGCAGTGTGAAGTAGATTTAGGTAGAGTTTCAGAGCAGAGCTTGATACTGACTTTATTAATATGATTAGATCAAATCTTTCTCTCAATTTTGTTTATTTTTTGTTTTTAATGCTTTTTTGAAGTTTTAGTAAAATCCACATTGAATATAAATATTTATCTTGTTTTTCCCGCAGATTCCATTGAGCTGGCCAGCCAGCCGGCCATTGGAGTGATACCACTTGGAACGGGAAACGATTTGGCACGTTGTCTGCGCTGGGGCGGAGGCTACGAGGGCGAAAACATCCCAAAACTTATGGAGAAGTTCCGACGAGCCACCACCGTGATGCTGGACCGCTGGAGCATCGAGGTAACCAACACCCCAAATAGCGATGAACTAAGGCCAAAGGTAAGTTAGCAAATGAAATAATATTTTATTTTTAATTATAGTTAAGTATGTGAGCTTTGGAAAGCAGAAAGACAGAGTCATCAAGTCCTGATAAATTTCTAAAAATAAATAATCCTTAAGAATAAATCCATAAAAAGTCCTACAAACTCCTAAAAGTTAAACTAACTCTAGTTAGTTTGACGTCCAAAGGTTATGTTAACTTCCCCCAGAATGCTCGAAATAATCAGACGAAAACTCCAATTTCAAATTAGAATTTATGACTTTCGTTCAATTTGCATTGTTACATAAAGTGAACTATTTATGGCAATTTGCCATTTATTTATTACTCCATCTAGCCCAGTGGCTAGGCTGAGTATATATGTATATATATCCCATGAATCGAATCGAATTGGCATGCTTAACGTTGGCCATAACCCGCCCAAATGAGGCGTTGGTGGGCGTGACTAGGCCCTGCCAGCTGGAAAATCCAATTATTGGCCACAAAGCGCTTACCACGCACACCATCCTGGCCTAGCCTGGCCTGGCCCTTCCCCTTGGGAGAGAAAGCGATTACACAAACTAATTTTGCTGGTTGGAAGGTTGGAAAGGCGTGATGCTGACGCTGCCAACCTGCAATCCGCAAAACTCCCACCCAGAACATGTTTTGTGCTTTCCAACTGCCAACTTTGCAACTGCTAACTGGCAATTGCCAACTAAGCCAACTTTCCTCCTCTTTTCCCTTTACCTTTTTTCTGCTGCAGGTGACGCTGCACTCGAACATGCAGAAGGTGATTGAGCTGTCGCAAAGTGTTGTGGTCGACAAATCGCTGATGGAACGCTTCGAGGAAATTCAGAGGCAGAGCAAGCAGGCGGCCACAGCTGCCTCCAGCACATCGATTATGATGGCCAGCGAAACGGAAACGGAAATGGAAACGGAAACGGCCACCATGGAGTTCGGCAATAGCACCACCACGCGAACAACCACGACCAAGAGCATTTCGATGTCCACGTTCGAGACGCAGTGCCTCCAGAAGACCCTGCGAACTACAACCCTGAGCAGCAGCAGCAGCAACACGAGCACCGGCAGTCCGTGCAATGGCAACCAGGATGCGGAAACGGAAGTCGATGCCGAAGTCCGGGAAAAGTCCATGCTGAGGATGAGGTCGGGCGAAACGGAAAAGCAATCACTTGAGACGCTCCTGCTGCAGCACAAACAACAGATGCAACAGAAACAGCAGCAGCAACAACAACAAGGAGCCACATCGGAAGCTGCCCAGGAAGCTGCAGCAGCAACGCCAGTTGGGAATAATCAAAGCGATAATAATAGCCAGCGCAATAAGCAAAACAACATCCTTAAACAGCAAATTACATTGTCATTGGATTTGTCCGACCATGAAGACGAGGCCGGGAATGAGGGCGACGGCGGCAGAGGCGATAGTGATGGCGATGCCGTTGGCAGTAACAGCATACCAGCAACACCAATCACACCCACAACACCGAATGCCTCATCAAGTGTGCCACAACAACAACAGCAACTGCAACAGCCACAGCAACAGCAGCAACATCTACAGTTCGAGCAGCAACAGAAGCCCATCAAAGTGCAATCTGACAAGGACTGCACGGTGCCGTACAACATTATCAACAATTATTTCTCCGTCGGCGTGGTGAGTACGCTTTACTGTAAGACACTGAAAACAAAAACTGTTCAATGTCTTTAAATTATTACCTTTCCTCACCTTATACTATTTCTCAGTCTATTTCAAAAGCAAAATCAATCTTTTCCTTAATTTTTAAGGCAGCGAACTCTTCTCTTAGTGTAACGAATGGCATTCTTAGAATGCATTCCTTGTTTTACTGGTCCTTGGACTGAGAGTCCCATTCATTGCATCGACTAATGCCAACGTGTCCGGGTCCAGATCCAGTTTCAGTCCGTCACATGTCAGGCGTTAAGCCGGCGGTTGTCATGCCATTTCCATTCTGATTCGCACTGCTGCTCGTGTCCTCGGCCATCCTGTTTTGGGTCCATGTCCATGTCTATGTCCGCGTCATCAGCAGTGGCCACATCCGCCGTAACAAGAGCAACTATGCGCACAATTTTCATAATTAGTGAGGACGAGCTGTCGTGGCTGTTGACATGGGATTTGCATTTGACAAGCTCGCTCGACGGGCTTAATTTGATTATCTAAGGAAATCGCGTCGCAAATCTCCAGCCTTTGTCTTGAAGTGATTGCCGGAGATTTGGGCCTTTGTGTAGGTGTACAAAGTAATCAAAACAGAATTCTTAATTGGAAATTTTGGGAATTAAGTTAAGACTCGACGAGGCCTTTGTAAAGTGTCTCGGGATATATACATTCTGGTTCTTAATTTGGCTTTATTGTTAAAAGGTGAACTGTAATTGAACGAATCATTAGTAGATTTGTGTTTTTTTGAATAATCATAAGCATCATAAATCAAGTTTTTACTTCGATTTGAGCTTTTGAGATTATGACATCCGCATAAAAGCCTCTCCTTGCAAACCCTTTATACACCAAAACATTCCTTAAAGGCCCATAATATTAAGGCCAAATGTCCCGCTGACTGTTTAGCCCAGCGTCTTGGGGCTGTTCAATAATTCATTTAATTCGACTTAATAATTTATTCAGCGCTTTTGGACAGGAGACCGCATATTTCCGGTTTGCCCGACCAAAATCCAGACCAAAACGACCGCAAATGAATAACCTTTAGGGCAGGCGGCGCTCTTTCAGATGCAAATTTCCGAGGAAATCGCCTTTCGGATGGATACATTCATAACCAAGGGAGGAGCGAGCTGTGCTCAAACAATGGCGTTTCAATAAAGAACCGAGATGGAGCCATTCCGTTCCGTAACCCCTGGAAGCTGGAATCGTGTCTGGCGATTAGTCAAAGACCATGCCGCGTTGCAACACATTTTGCATGCAAAGTGGCTGATTGCCACAAAAGTCGAATGCCACACGCCCGGGGCTCAGTTGCAGATGCAGATACAGATACGGGTGGCAGGTGATGGGGCAGGTGCTAGTGCAGGATTCCATATACAGATCCAGATACTTTTGCAGTTTTGAGCTGGGTCTCTCGGGAGTATGCAAACGAGGTGGCAGGAGTTAAGCACACAATCATCAGCTGCGCATTTGCATCATTGATGCTGCAATGCATTCGATTGGCAGGAGAAAAGTGGCGGCAGGTGCAGATCCAAGTGCAGGTGCAATTTGCACTGTTTGCCTGCACTTTTGCCAGCTTTCAAGATCAAATAGATGCCATTGCAGCTTTGCCTGTGAAAATTCCAATCAAGCTGGCCCCGAAAGGTAGGCAACACTTTTGCGGCATTCAAATTCACTTAACCCTAGTGTCCGAATGCTTGATTCCCGGAAAATGGTCGAAATAGCCGAGAACGTTTATATTAATGAATGCCCAAGCTGTGGCCAGAGAACGAACGAAACTTGTCTCATTATAATTTCCAGCAAGTGTTAAATTAGTAACTGCTCAAGGCGACGCCAAACACCGCAAAGTCAAGAAAAGGAAACAGATTGCGCCCCAGGGACCAACATATACTATATACTATATGCCCCGCAGGCCACAGACACCAACACACACATTCTGGGCAATAAATAGGAGGAAGGATAAAAGTTTGCAAAGTTTCTCGTAGGGGCTTTTGAATAATTTAGTATGATGTGAGATATGAAAATGGCAGGGAAGCCAAAGAAAAACGGCAACAAAATCACAGATACTCGCACTTTTAGCGGCCTGCACTCCGTTTATCTGGCCAGGATTTAAGAGGGCCATAAAGTAAAGTTAAGTGACAACTTTACAGCACGGGGCTGGCCGCAGAAATGAAATGAAATGAAGGCCAAATAAAACGGAAATGTGGTACAAATCAGCCAGACAATGTCCTGCCTTCTCTTTGTGTTTGTGCTTCTGTTTTGTGGCAGAGTGTAAACACGCCCCTGGGTAGGTGGTAGATACACAGGAAAATTAAGGCCACAAGGGTCAATCTTATACATTTTAAATGAATAGCTTTATCAATTGAATCTCTGGAAATGTTTTATGTCTTTTATATAATTTACAGTAATCCGGCAAAATGTCACCTTTTCCCTTCTGCAAATTGAATTTGTTTATGGTAATACATTCTCTAATTAGCCTAATCTGTCTCTATGTATTCATATTGCTATTTTATCATTAAATTAATATGCTGATATAATATTTTAGCATTTGAAAAGGTTTACTTATCAGCTAAATAGCTAACTAAAGTTGAACAGGAAAAAGGACTTTTAAAGGTTACAAATAGTATCTTTCCCAGAACTTAATGAATTAATAAATAACTATAATTATGATTCTAATAAAGATTCTGATATAAATTAAAGCCGCCAAATAATCTAAATGCAAATTAGATTTCCAATTCCAAATTTAATATCAAATCAAAGTGATTTTATTCAGATAGATTTGATAAACAGGAAATCCAATAGAAGTTTATTTCTGGCAAATAAACTATTTTCTTTTTTTTTTTTTGATTTTTCTGTGTATATGAGAAAAGCGACGAGTGTGGGTGGTGTGAATGTGTAGGTGTTGGACCTGCGTAAGGTCACACCATTTGTCAAGTGGCGGCTAAAGCCGAAATCCTTTTTGTGCAAACATTTTGCGCTCTCCTGCGCCACTGAAATCAGCCTAATGCCCCTGCCACAGAGCCCCGGCAATTGCACACCAGATCCCACAAAATCCGCACCAAAACCGAAATAAAAATGTGTGCGCCCGTGTGGGTTGGATTCCACTTTAGCTTGGTGAGATTGGGCTTGGGTTTGGTCTTGGGTTTGGGTTTCCCTGTGTGTATTTCTGTGTGCGTTGCGTGTTAGTTTATTTATGACTTGATGTGCGTCTGTTTAAACAGTAGGCGTCTACAGGCAAACTGATGGCGATGATGTTATTGCCGCTCCTGCTGCTGCTGCTGCTGGGATTTCACTTGTCGGACACATTTCACACGGAGAGCTCTTTGTCCCGGGCCCATCACGAAATCCATTTAACACTCATGTACATGAACATGTGTCTGGTCTATAAGGGAGTGCTCCGGCTCAAGTGGCCCAGCTCCTTGGGAGTGAGCATCCTTGGGGAAAACGAAAAGAGGAGGAGCCACCCCCCACCCCCCCATCCCCCATAACCATCATCCTCCTCAAGTAATACAGCATGAAAAGTATTTCACGCTGACGCTTGGGTTTAACGTCAAACAATTGACGTTGAGCGCCAACTTGTGCGACGATGATAAAAGTGCGAGTCCCAGGCAGTTCTGCGAGTTTTGGGAGTTCCGTTCAGCATTTAGCCGTTCAATCTGACTTTTTGAGACCCCTTAGGAGGGAGAATGACAGGGGGAACGTGGGTTTTCGTTTAATTTTATAACTAAGTTTGACTTTTCAAATTATTTACAGATTGCAGTAAAGCAGCAAATTCATGAATTTTGACAAACTTTTTACTTTTAGACATAAAATTATAGAATCCTTATTCAGCCATATCAACTATCTCTTATATGATTTATTAAACGGAAATTTATAGCAAAATAAGTAAAGCACAACTTTAGTTCCTTCCCCTTTATGGCTTAGCTTGTTTTTTGGCTCACTCCTTTCATAAAAAAAAGTTAAATTTCTGTGAGAACCTGTCAGCACTGTTTGAGGGGGAGGGGAGATTGGCAACTGGAGGCTTTTATGGAGTTGTTGTGTAATTGTCTGAGCTTCGACTTTGACTTTGGCTCAAGTTTTATGTGCCAGGGCCAAAGAGATAGCGGGCTGGTTGCGCATTTTATGGCCGGGCCTTTGTACCTGCGTTGCTCATACGCCCCGTGGCCTTAAAGAGATTTCGTCTTATCTATAGCAGCTCGGATATAGTCGCCCGCCTTCCGGTTTGCCAGTTTGGGTATACAAATTATTTCATTAACCTCTCACCTTCCCAGCCCTTCTTTTAGAGCCATCCTTGGCCAACGTGCCACATTCTATTGCCGGCTTTCGGGCACCATCGGTAAACTTTCCCCAATGCAAACAAGCTGTCAGCTGGTATCCCTGCCTCCGCTTCCATCTCCTACTACTAATGGGTATGGTGCGGTCGAGGCATGCTAATAAGCTGGGCTGTCACTAAATTAGTTTACCGCACAGGCCGTGCATAAAGTGACATCGGGGATGATGGGATGACAGGGGGATGGGGAAATGGGGAACGGGATGCGGCTGGAGCTAATTAAAAAGTTTTTCGTCGATTTTTCGATTTTAAGCTCTGGCAGGCGCTCGCTCATGTTGACAATTCAATTTGACGTCGAGCGGTAATAAATCTTATTTGCTGTGCAACCAACAGGCCGTAATTGAAAGTCCTGCCGCCACCACGTGCCCTGAATCCGGCGGACAAAGGGCCAAAGCCGCGCGTCCCTCTGTATGTGTATGTATGTAAGCAGAGCGACATGCATAACAAATGCGCTGGCAGTAAGTGCAACGTGTCGTATGAGCAACGTTGGCCCACGGGGCGGGCACGCAACCGAATATCCACATAAGGAATTAAGATGCAGCCGTTTGCCCGATAAGGGACCTCCTCCACTACGTTCGTCTTCCGTGGAATGGAGTTGCCAGTTGGCAGGTGCCTGTGGCTCCGTAAAGCAAACACTTTTGCACAGGAAGCGAGTATTCAGCACGTGAGCTTGCCAAGTACACACGAGGCTGGGAAAATAGAACTACTACTTATAAAAATAACTGGCTTTAGTTGAATGGCTTATATGTTATACAAACAATTTCTTTCCCTTTCTAAAGGTAATTTTAATTGAATATTTGAGTGCCGCTTTATAAGCAAGCAGAAAGCAAGGAAGAACTTTTTTTCATAGGACATAGTTTTGCGTGTTTAGAGTATCAACAACTATCTGATTTCATCAGTCTTTATCAGTGTTAAAAAAACACTCTATATACCTTACATATTTTTAAAAGTAAACATCATAAACACACCTTTAAATCTATAAAATGTAAAACAAAACCTCCTCTTAACGAGGCTAAAGATATTCTTAAAGATCTAAAATATCTGTTCTTAAATTTTGTAAAAAGGAGAAACTCAACAATAGAAAAATATGAAATCTAAGTGGGTTTTATTTTGTGAACGGAGCTGTAGAAGAGGATTAATACAATGCTCGAGTTGCAGAAAGTTCAACTTCTTTGCAAATCCTTCACCTTGAACTTTCTTTAAGTCTTCGATTCCTGCAAGGAACTTAAATAAGGATCTTTCTTTTCACCTGCCGGTTGTTAATATAAATTAGGCGTCTTATCCAACGTTCGACCGCAACATTAATTAGCATTGCTGCGGTCGGGCCAATCGAAGCCAATTGCCATAGCAGCCAGGATATGAATCTAATTGAGATTTCTCGGAAAGCCTGAATGGGAAATAGTAATCGCAGTCAAGTGCAATCCGAACGTGACCCTGAATGGCTAGCTTCTCAGCTGACCTTTTGACACTGGCCTCGTTCTCATCCCACACCGCATTGGTTCTATTTCCCCAGGACGCCGCCATCTGCGTCAAGTTTCACTTGGAGCGGGAGAAGAATCCACACAAATTCAACAGCCGCATGAAGAACAAGCTTTGGTACTTCGAATATGCAACATCCGAGACATTTGCGGCATCCTGCAAGAATCTCCACGAGAGCATCGAGATTGTGGTAAGTGGTTAGGGGTTGCATTCAGTTGGAAAGTGGTAGGGAAAGAGGTCACCCGTCATCGGTGATTTATTAAGGGATGCTGGAACGAGAGCAACACAGCGTGTAACCTCTGGCCCATATTTACAGTGCGATGGTGTGGCTCTGGACCTCGCCAACGGGCCCCACCTGCAGGGAGTGGCGCTGCTGAACATCCCATATACACACGGCGGTTCCAATTTGTGGGGCGAGCACCTGTCCCAGAAGCGGATCCGCAAGAGCGCCGGCCCCTTCGGCAAGAGCAAAAAACTCCGAGCTGGCGACAAGGAGTTCTCGGCGACCAGCTTTAATTCCGTGGATCTATCGGTGGCCATACAGGGTGAGTAAAGTTCTTAAGTTAGTAAATAAAAGCTTAATATCTTTGTCATTAATATAATTGAACAGTTTGATCACCATTACTAAGCTGTAATTTATCTTTTTCAGACATTGGAGATCGTCTGATCGAGGTGATTGGTCTAGAGAACTGCCTGCACATGGGACAGGTAAGAACTGGTCTCCGAGCCTCCGGACGCCGCTTGGCACAGTGCAGCGAGGTTATCATCAAGACGAAGAAAACGTTTCCCATGCAGATCGATGGCGAGCCCTGGATGCAGATGCCCTGCACGGTGAGAAATCTGATGAGTTATTGTTGATGAGTTATCTTTTATAGCATTTTAATATTCGAATTCAGATCAAGGTGACCCACAAGAACCAGGTGCCCATGCTAATGGCACCACGGTCGGAGAAGGGACGAGGATTCTTCAATTTGCTGTGCAGCTGATTCAGGCGCAGCGCATCGAGCGACTTCATGGGCCGTGCCGCCCCGGAGTCTGCCGATGAGCTGGATGATGACTTTCGGATCGTCACTAGGAGCACAACCGTCCATAACATAGCCTAGCGTGAATAGCTTTAGCCCTAGTCCACCCGCGATCGCATCGAATTGGTATATCCTAGGTTAGGCCTTCCCTTATGATATGTGTAGATGTGTGCTATATGTATTCTTGTATGTATGTATGTATGTCGAGTGAGTTACAGAGCTTTATATTTAGTGTTAGATTAGCCAAATATACAACCGAGTCAAGTCCATTCCAATGGGATCCGAGTGCGGAAGCTGTATATATATAATAGCAATACAAATACAAATACAAACATGGCTTTAGGTGTACAGTGCCACAGGATATTTTAAGAACACTTTAAAAACGATAGCGAAACTTGTCCAATGATGCAACTGAAATGAGACCAACCAAACAACCAGAACAACAAACCAAAAACTAACAGCATTGTAGTGCGAATTTTATGCCTTAGGCTTAAGTAATTTATTCCGTCATCGCCAGTGTTGAGTGTTGCCAGGATCGAAGAGATATATTGTGTATAGAGATGTAAACGGCAAGCCACATATCATTGATTTCCGACTCGAGAGATTGCATTTGAGCAGCACTCGCCACGGACTTACGAACTTTACTTTTTTTTTTAGTACTTTATATTGTATATATAGAGAAAACAAATGTAACTTGATATGCAAATGTCAACTAAATGGTGCAGCTTTAAAAGAAATTTTATATATGAATACATATATTGAGATGACATGGATCGGATGTTGAATAATACTACAAACGTGTATATTTCATATAATCATATATGTATGTTTAGTGCCAATAAGGTTAGCAGAACTACAATACTCATAGTTGGAAAACACGAAAACATTTTTAGAATCAATAAAACTAGCAGATATGGCAAGTAATTAACATTGGGAGGGCCAAAACTACCCACCAACTTTAAATTTCAAATCGAAAAGCCACATTCCATACTAATTTTAAATAACTAAATCAGGATTTTATTATATAATATTTGATTTGATAAAAACACATTTTCTAAGGTCATTTGTAAATTTTAAAATCAAAGCAGAAAAACAGTGCAAAAACAAACCCTAATTGTTAAATTTAATATCCCAAGAAAGTGTTTAGGTAATAATCATATAATAATGAAAAATATAGAAGCACTTATTTTAAAATATAATACCAGGAGATTCTTAGAATGAAACTCAGATGGATTGTTACTCGGATATAATCGCAATATAATATGTGTCCTATAATTCATTAGTCCCATTAAGTAGTTCAGTAATAGATCATTTCAAAGAATAACCAAATTTATACAATTTCTAATTAGTGTAGCTTTTACTTGCTTGGAGATTAGCCATGGAACACGTCATATTATCTAAGCCATTTCTCCAGTCCGAGTTGAGTTCTCCTTGCGTGTGCCATTATAATCACCCTTTTATTTCCTCCTGAGGATTTCTGATCCCCAAACACCATTAATCTTTTTGGCACGACAAACTGTCAATAGGAAACATATTATATCAATGTACGTGAACGTGTATTGTCGGATTACAATTGCAAACCAACGTAATATACATAAAAGTCGTTATAATTTTGCAAATAAACATTTTCAATGCGAATTCTCGAGCCCACGAATCCTTGAAGTTTCGCCAGGAACAGAAGGACTTTGTGCCGGCGATGGGTTGCCGCTAATGCCACACAGTAGCCAGTTAACATTAATTATAAATGAACCACTTAACATTAGTAAAATGCAAAGCAAAGCGGCTGAACTAAGGCCACGCTCTTGTGTACAGTACAACTAGGTCTAAGCATATATATACCTGTCTAAACATAGCTCTACTTAGATACTATGAAATAATCAAACAAGTAACTACTAGTTGATATTAACAGTGAAAGTAATGAAGAGGGCAAGTAGAACTTGCCAACTATATGCGTTAAGAGTACGATATTTAATGCTTAAGTAGCTAATGTATCCCCAAAGCGGAGTTATAATCTCTGTACAAAGCTTGGTTCCTTTCGTAGGCTTATTCTAGTAATTTGTTTTAAGTTTAGATTAACCACTGAATATGTCACGTGTGGAGTTGTCCCATATTATTGTAACCCATAACAGTTTACAGCCCGTATTTACTGTACAATTTGGATCTTCACTTGTGCCAAGTACTAGAAGAGATGGGCTCTGTAATGCCCTCAAATATAGCATATTCAATGTAAAGGTCAAACCACTTTAAGATAGCAAATGGAATGTAAAACTGTAAATTACATATGCATATTATCCACACATGTATACTCCTATAACCAGTGTTTAAAACAACCACCAATAAACGCAAATTACGTGTAAACTAAATATCTTTACTTAGACCGTATTCATTTTGCAAGTGCAACTGCACATGAGGACCATAGACACTGACAAAGGTGAGAATCTGGTTACTACTGGGCTGTCCAAATTGTTGAAGAACCTCGGCGGTGCGACAGGGGTGTAGTGCCATAAAGGGTCTAAAAAGCACTGGATGATCCATTTGAGTAAGTATCTGATAGAGATCGATGGCTTTTGTTTCAGGCATAAACAGTTTCCAAGCTTCCTCCAGGTCTAGAAGGCTTCCATCTATAACAAAATGAGATTAGTTGCTTCATAACTGTTTACTAAATGTGCAACAATACCTGATCTGTGTGCCTGGAAAAACATCATAGGTACTTGATAGGAAACACTGTAGACCACATGATACTCCACACTGACTAATTCCGCCTTGCATTTAATCTTCTGACTGAACTTAAGGAAGGTGTTAGGTTCATTCGAGTCCTATATTAAGAAAAAAGTAATTAAAGTATTAAAGTAATTAATTAACTCTTGCTACTTACCTTTTCCTCCAGCGTCCAACTATCACCCAAATTCTGGGAAATCTCATAAAACTGCTTTGCCTGGTTCAAAAAGTCTTTCCAGCTCAAGTCGCCCATGTTGCTGGAAGTAGAAAAAGATACTCATGTTTACTAAAATCGTTAGTTTAAGCCCTTACATTTAGTTACATGAAAGAAAACACTTTATTTGCGTGGTAAACAAGCCTCGTACATATATTTCAGAATGTCCTGTGTCATAGAGCAAAATTGATACGCCAAAGGTTAAAGCTCCTTAACACAAAATACTTAAGCTAAACAGAAATCTTCAATTAACGAATATCAATTGCAATAATCCATAAATTAGGCGCTACGCAGATCGCCGTCCATTGCGGTCACCTGGACGTTCTCATTACGCCGGACCTGTACCACGGTCACCGTGGCGGCCTTGTCATCAAATTTGCACGTCACCGTGACCTCTCGCAGCTGAAAGGTAAATATTTGCGAGCCGTATTTTGTGCGCAAGTAAACTGAACGTGGGTCCGCCTCCAGAATATCCACAATACACTGTTTCTCCACCTGCAGCTCCTTCAACTGTGCCTCGGCATGCTCGTTGAAATTAACACTTAGCCGATTGCTAGCCACCACCCAGTTGGGCACTCGCACGGCGCTAGGTGGTGGCAGGATGGCATCCGCTCCAATGCCAGAATTGCCTGTGTAGCCAGCTGCTCCATATAACTCTAGGTCCGATTCCTCGCCATCAGGCTCCTGCCGGGAATCATAGAAATCCAGGCTATTCTCATGAGGTCCCACAGAAGTGCGTCCTGTCCAGGGTAAGAATTTTAGTTGACTTTCCGGTTCTTTGCCGCTCAACGTACCTGAGTCAACGCTCAAGGATGGCGCATCATAGTATGGAATGTAGGGCTTTATATCCAACACAGGAGTTCCGTCAACCATGTCAGTGCCAAAGAAGCTGATGGTGGCGTTCTCGATCTTCTCAATCTCCACCAAAGAGAGTCCAATGGGACAGGGGCGGTGTGGAGACCGTGTTGAGAAGACACCCACCCGCTCTCCACCGAGACGAGGAGGAGCGACCTTGGCCTTGGGATGGGAATTGTTGCGGTGGAAATGATAGATGAGCCACAGATGCGAAAAGTCGCCAAGACCCTCCAGTGAGTGCTCCGGATTAGTGAAGACACCATCGTTCAGCTGAACGATACCACGCAGACGACTGCCTACAATCGATTGCCTGGGTACGGCACGCTTCTCCGGGAAGGCCGTCCTGATAACTCCAATGGGCCGAAAGTGGGCAATGTCCTCTCCGGAGATGTTTCCTCCATTGGTATGATTGCTCTGCGGATGGGTTGGGAGTTTTGTGGGTGTTTTTCTCTATGTGTGGGAGGGTCAAACGCACCTGACCTTGTCCCGGCTGCTGCTCCTGGTGCTCCTGCTTCTCGCCGGCGACCTTGTCCTTGGCGCTCTTGTTGCTCGCGCAGCCCTCGCAGCGGAAGTCCTGCAGCAGGCGGGTTATCGTCTCGATGTCCTTGCGCTGCACATGCTGCAGGTTGCGCACTTGCTGCCTGCATCATGGTCAAGGCAAAATCGGTTTGAACTTGAACTTTACCAGTAGCTAAAGGACACTTTATGGAATTTATGTGTCATAAACGCACCTCAGATTGTTAATTTCGTTTCGTGCTATAGTCAACTGACTCTTCAAATCATCCTCGTGCATTTTCCCCTATGGCGACCAGCACTTGGCTCCCAAATAATCCGCAATTTTAGCGTACTCCGCTGTTTTTGATAAATATTTACCTCGAATTCGCTTCGATGGTTATATTCAGCTAGAGATGGACTATCACTTACGCACGGTACCGCGGTGTTATCGATTTTCGATAGGGATATGATGGGGGCAATTTGGCTATTTTCAAGTTTAGTTTAGCTTTTTTCATACTAATTAAAATTTGTTTGTTTCATGATATATGTATGAATTTAAGTATTTGCTTATATCGAAATTCAATCATATAGAATATACTTGTTTTTAAATAACTACTAGTTGCTGAAAAATATGTATTAAATTGGCATTTTAAAATAAAGGAGCCAGCTATTATTCATATTCGATATTACGACAACCGATAAGCGGCGGCGCGCGTTGCTTTATGGTATTTTTTAGGACAATTGTTGGGTTGAGAATGACAATCTGAATTTTGCACAGTAGGTTCGATTTGAAGCGACATTTTCCCTGTCATATACAAATTTGTAAATTCTTATTGTTCTAAAGGTGAGTGGTTTTGAGTACTAATATTTATTTGACGGTTAACGCCTTAAACTTTTTGTAGCTACCGAATCAAGAAACAAGCATCATGTCTCGCGGAAGTTCAGCCGGCTTTGACAGACACATCACGATCTTCTCGCCCGAGGGACGCCTTTACCAAGTAGGTGAGTATCCTGGTATATCCGGTTCCACAACACTCCATTTCACATTCGCTACTCCCCGACAGAGTATGCCTTCAAGGCCATCGCCCAGGAGAACATCACCACTGTGGCGCTAAAGAGCGGTGACTGTGCCGTGGTAGCCACTCAGAAGAAGGTCACAGAAAAGAACATAGTCCCCGAAACAGTGACCCACCTGTTCCGCATTACCAAGGACATTGGATGTGCCATGACTGGACGCATGGGTATGCAACACTCAAGCCTTAAATTGGTTTTAGATCCCGTCATGATCTAGCTAAGATTTTGTTCAGTTCTTGTGCTCATAATATCCTTAATTTCAATTGGCCCCGCAATTTAGTTCACCCGTTTGTTTCATTCCAAATGCTCGACAGGCGTTAGTTAGTAAAAGAATTTACTTTTAGATTTAAAAAGCCGTAAAAACCAAAAATTGCTGAGACTCCATCTTAACCAAACTACTACCGGACTGTAAATTTTAATCATTTCCCTTTTCCACAGCTGATTCCCGCTCTCAGGTCCAGAAGGCCAGGTACGAGGCAGCTAATTTCCGCTACAAGTATGGTTACGATATGCCCGTCGATGTGCTGTGTCGGCGAATCGCTGACATTAACCAGGTGTACACGCAGAACGCCGAAATGCGTCCGCTCGGCTGCAGCATGGTGCTGATCGCGTACGACAATGAGATCGGAGCCAGCGTTTACAAGACAGATCCGGCAGGTTATTTTAGCGGCTTTAAGGCTTGTTCCGTTGGGGCAAAGACTCTGGAAGCCAACAGCTATCTAGAGAAAAAGTACAAGAACAATTTGTCCGAAGAGAAAGCCATCCAGCTGGCTATCACCTGTCTGTCCAGTGTGCTCGCTATTGACTTTAAGCCCAACGGTATTGAGATTGGCGTTGTCAGCAAGTCTGATCCCACTTTCCGCATACTGGACGAGCGGGAGATTGAGGAGCACCTCACCAAGATCGCCGAGAAGGACTGAGCTCTGCCGTGCTAGCTGTAATTTTGTCATATTTTTTAAAGCCTCTCCTTGGATCTATGGTTAAATATATAAATGCTCTTGGCTTGCATTCAAAACTAAGGCAAAGACATTCATCGCTTTTATTTTTTCTTATGCACCTTACCTCCGTATCGCATGACGAAGGCGTTTACATCAAACTTTCGCCGACACCCCTGATAGTTCATGTACCGGACCTTTCCGAAAATAGGGCGCTCCTTCCAACCCATGTCGTGCACACCGCCAATAGACCACATACACCCAACATAACCGTTAGGGTCACGTCCATCGAGGCTGTACTTATCGTTTAGTAATATCGCATACTCCAGCGCCTCTTCAGGAGTGGCAGTCCACTCGAGAATTTTTTTTGCCCAGTACATGCGCAGAAAGCCGTGCATCTTGCCCTCGCGCACCAGTTGCAGTTGCGCCGAGTTCCACAGGTCGTCGTAAGTGAGGGACTAGGAATTAAAATTAAACATTTTAATAATTGCAAGGCACATCTTAGGATTCAGAAGTGCACCTTTTCTAGTTCTTCCAAGCTGTAGCAGGGATCTCTCTTATCCTTGCGATGTGCATCTAGAGTTTGGTATGCCCAAGAACTCAGTCCCTTTAAGCTATCATAGTGTTCGTTGTAGAAGCAAAAGTTATCTGCCAACTCCCGACGGACAATAGCCTCCTCGCAAAATGCATCTGCCGAGGCCTTGTGTTGGGTCCGAAAGCGCTGCACCTCCAAAGCACAGCGCTGTGCTGAAATCTGGCCAAAGTGCAGCCAAGGTGAGAGTCCAGACAAAACGTCTGCCATAGGATCATTGCGTTTGTCATTGAAATGGCGCAGACGACGACTGCAGAACTCGTAGAGTTGCTTGCAAGCGGCCTTGTACCCCGGCTTGGCCCACTCCACCTCGTCTACGTCCATGTCGCATTGCAACATGGCATATGCAGCTGACCAGTCCACAGGTTTTACGTCCTTACAGCCCGTTCCATGTGGATGTCGCACCACAGGTGGGAATTCGGTAAGAAACTCACCCAGTTTGGAGTTTATCTTGTTGCGAATGGTGCGGGCAGCGTACTCCTGCTTATCGGAGGCCACCCACAGTGGAACTACATTATGGGCATCGACTTGAACAAGCGGCACACTCTTAGGAAGCGCAATGCCCACATCTTCGACCCATTGACGTGGTAACCTAAGCGGGGCGAAGTCGCAGATAACGGCTCCTATGTCTTTAGATTTAACAAATTCCGGCAGCTTTTCCACAGCGGGGCCCATTAGCAAGTGAAAGGGTATATCTAAAGAACGGCACTGCTGTTCCACCTCCTGCAAGCCCCCCATCATAAATTTGTAGTGTCGGATGGTGGCATTCAGGAATTTGGGAACTAGACAAAAGACCACTGACAGCGGCAAGTCTAATTTGAGAGCCAAACGCTGGGCGAAGAGTAGCGCCCAATTGTCCTGAACACGACCATCGCGGGACATCCAATAGACGATGCCTCCTTGGCAAGATTCTTTTACATCATCGGTTTTCGACAGGACGCGCACCCTTTTCTTCCTAAAAGAGAAATCTTTAATGTTCGATGCCGCGCAGGATCGCTGGTGGTCCAGGTGTGTTAGGAACTGCTCGAAGTTTTGGTAATCCGGCTTGGAAGCCAGCGAAGACTTCGATGTGGAAGCCTCCGCATCACTGCTCTCTTGTTCACTTGTGGCGTCTTTCTTGGGGCTGCCATCTTGCTTTTTGGCGACCTTCTTAGATGGACCTGCCTTAGTCACCTTAGCCCGTTTCATTATATGCAGAGAGAAATCCTAAATTTCAAATAAACACATTAATAGCCATTTCAGTAATTTGTTGTAACTCACGATCTTGAACGATTCGCGCCAATGTGACGCAAATGTAAACATAATTGAATGACAAGATGGCAGCCCTATCAGCTGTTTCAGAGAACGAAACATCGTAGATTGCTGCACGTATAGTATTGTTCATTACTCAAAAAACCTGCAATAATTGATAAATATGTAATTATATAACAGACCAAAAACGTTACTTGTTAAAAACTATTTATAATATATTATTAATATGTATATATGTATATAAAAATATTCAATAAAAATTACTTTCGCTTATGTACCAAAGTACAGTATTTATTTATTTAAAGTTTTTCCTCAAAAATTTTTTTTTTTTATTTCTTGGTAATCCTTCCAGTCTTTTCACCTTCTCTAGATATTTCTTGAGAATAGAATAACCTCTACGAATTCCAAAATAACGTTACTTGACATTCAGCAATTATCGGTTAAAGAAAAAAGACAACCCTGCAATCGCAAATTTGAACCGACGCTATTTCTTCGGAACTTGAAACTTATTTAATTTTGTAAAGCAAATGGATGAGTCAGTGAGCGAATCAGAGTTTATTGGCAATATCGAACGGACTGTCCGATCCACGCTTATGCGAGGAGATGGACAATCGATTCATAGGGAGTTGATCGACTACGCAACAGCCTCGTGCAGAATGTTTTACATACAGGACGCTTCTGCCTGGCAGGAATGGTCAACGAATGTCGAAGCTTTCCAGGATATCTCAGCTCAGGAAGCTTGTAATATATTCTTGACTGAGGTTTTGCCACAACTGGACACATATCAGGTTCCGGACACGATGAAGAAACGCTTTAAGCTCCTGGACCTGCATCCCTTCTTCCGGCGCGTTGACCAAGGTTATCAATATACTCCAGATTGTGACCTAGCCGATAGATTCGTCCTACATCACCACCAAGACTTCCTTCTAACTAACGATGTTCAGAAAACCAGGGTAAGTACATTTTTACATACAGTGGATCATATTAACATTCGGTTTTTTATTTGTATATATAAGGAATTTAAAATTAAAATTGAAATCAATTAAAAACGATAAACATGTTAGTTTCAAACATATTCTTTTCCTTTGAAGTTGAAAAAATAGAAAAATTAATGTGATTCACTATGTACATATGTATGTTAATATATTCCTGATAATACTTTCATAATATAATAAATAATTTATTTGAACCAGAACCACTTCGAGCCCTATTAAAGTCATTGCAAAAAGCTCTTAAATAAATTATCTATCATACCTTTTTATAGGAAATCGAGTCTGCAAAAAGATGTCAAACTGTGCTTTTAGACAAAGAAGAAATGGAGCAGCAGACGTGTGTTGGATACAGAAGCAAAGTCAGTCTGGAATCTGCGGTTCTGTTCTCGGTATTGTTGTCCTCCGATATGGAACTTTCCATTGCACAGATGCTCGATCTAGATGAGATTCACCAGCGATTGCGACGCGCCAAACAATCTTTTGAGGATACTGCCAGACTAAGTCCTTACCGTAATAACATTGATGACCTAATATTCAACGTAGATTGCTTTGCTAAGGTGAAATCTAAAATTTGTCAAGCAATGAGCGACTGTAAGAAATATTAAGCAACAAGTGTTTGCTTTACAGTCACAGTAAAATATTGAATTTTGGTATCATTCTGTATCGACTTCTGAAATATCGACTTTTTAAATATTGTACAATGAGTGTTTTAGTAACATATAACTTTTTATTTTACTTGTCCTTGAAGTTACAAATTTATTTAAATAGATAAGATTAACTGTAATTTAAAATAGTGCGGATTATATGAGTTTTTGAGTTTGCAGAGAGATATCTGACTCTGAACATTACTGTGAAGTCTTGTCTTACATGGAAAAGTATTGCCCTAATTCAAATAATGAATGCGAATTTGTTAACGCAAAATTTTTAATGTTTATCTGTTTTTTTATTTGTTCTGTGCTCATAATTTATGAACAACATTTAACAGGAATATTCTCTGTTCCATCTCTTCTTTCGGACTAGAATCACTGGATTGTTTTGTACGATTTTAATCTGCCAGATATCTCTCAATTCCGACGGTTTTATTTGCCGCAAAACATTAATATGTTTTTAATCTCTTTTTCCAACAAAACATTCCCTCTCCAAATTATGAAAAGTAATTGCTATTAATTTTATTAAATCCGGTGTAAAAATAAATTTTCAGATAATAAATTTCAGTTTTTTGGTATTGTTCTCAGCGTGGCTCTTATCAGACTCTGAAATTATTTATTTATTGCTAAGGTTTTTCTGGCTACCAATATTACGGATTCTTGCGCAAACACAAGATATCCTTAAAAATAAAAAAGTTTGAACTGTTTGAACCAACCGTAAACACTATCTGGGAGGATTCATTTATTATTCTCCTCCCCCAAAAAGACAGTAAGTCTGATGTCAAGAAAAGGTATATATGTATAAATTTTCTTCATTTTCCAAAGCATTTGAGAACTTTACTTCTAATTTTCAACTCGCGGATATTACCTTACCACTACTACTACTTGAGTTGACATCGAATGTATACTTACATATCAGGGTCAGCTGAAATTCCATAGTCATATACATACATATATACATATGTAGTTTACAGTTAATAGAAAAAGTATTTCGGCTTTATTAAACCTTCGGCAAAAGAGTTTGAGATCCTTATACAACTAAGTTACTATAAGCTTTAATTTTCTGACGTTCAAGAAGTTATACATACTTAATCGTGGAAAACTTTAGACAGATATATGTTCATACTTGAATAATATATAAGTTCCAATGAACAATTAAAAATTCTTGCGCCGAATTTTTAACAATATCAATAACAGGCAAATTTGAATATGTTGCTGGAGGAACCTCCTTTCGCATCCTGTTATAAGCCTTTTATATCGTATACAGTGCAACTCCAAGGTAAACTAAATATATGTATATTAATTAATAAATTTTAAAATAATTAATAATAAAATATTGATATTGCCCCAAAACTCATAATTCTTTCTTTTGAGACCAATTTCAACATTTTGTTTGAATCGTTCGGCGTCTCTTTTATAATATTCCTTTATAGGAAGAGCTTTGGTTAAGCACTTATCTAATCAGTTATTGCCGCCTTAGTAAAACCTTTTCAAAATACTTTTAAAGGAATACGAAAAACTAATATACCAACCCCAAGCTAACGCGCATGACGGTTTTCTTTTGTACTTACCTGCGGTCACATTGGTCCAATAGTTTAATGTTTTCCATTCAGGCGGGTGTAATGGAAACTGAATTTTAAGCGGAGAACTTAGACAAGTCAACATATGGCCAATCAACGAAAGAAAATCAATTTTTATGTTGCCATTAGTAACAGGGCGAGGTTTTAAAGGTCAATAGAATTATTGTTAACAAACGAGCAAGGACCACCCAGCAAATCAACTTAGTAATCATTGCCAACATCTGCTAAAGTTTGACTTTACGTGAGTTATGAAATTACCATAAGCCTATAAATAACTAAAAATATAATAAACTCTTTTAAAAGGAAACCTAATCAGTATCAGTCATGGAACCCACCTCAGATGTTTCCAGAGTTGTCAACGCTGCTACAGCCCCTGGCAATGCCAAACGGCCTACGCAACAGGGCCGGAAGAAGTCTGGACCCAAGTTCGAGCTGTCTGATGCGCAGAAATCTGACATCAAGGAGGCCTTTGATCTATTCGACAACGAATGCACAGGTTATATTGAGTCCAAGGAGCTCAAGGTAGCCATCAGAGCTTTGGGCTTTGAGCCGAAAAAGGAGGAGATCAAGAGGATGATCGCCGAGATCGATAAAGATTCCAGTGGTCGGATTTCGTTTAATGACTTCCAGCACCTGATGACCACGAAAATGGCTGAGAAGGATACTAAGGAGGAGATACTTAAAGCTTTTAGGCTTTTTGATGACGACGACACCGGAAAAATCTCCTTTAGAAATTTGAAACGGGTAGCCCGTGAACTGGGCGAAACTCTGACAGACGAGGAATTACGGGAGATGATCGACGAGGCCGACTTGGACAACGACGGGGAGGTCAACCAGGAAGAGTTTCTGCGAATTATGAAGAAGACTAGTTTGTATTAAAAGCTACACTTTTGGCTGCCGTAAAATGCTTTCTGCGTGTTCCCTGTCTACGTTAAATTTGTAAAATGTTTGCTTTTAGTAGAACGTTTTCTGAGTAGAGAACTCACAAAATAACGCACTGTGGAATATACATATGAAGTATGTGAGATTAAATATATATGGTAAAACTTGAAGTACTTAGGAAGTTGTAACACGTCGCACCTAGACAAACGTACCTAAACATTTAAAATCGACTTATTTTAACTGCAAAACCCGATACTTTAAAAACGTCATATTTCGATCATCATGCAATTTTGCACCCTCCGTTCTAAGGCATATTCCCAGAAAACCAAAGTTTTTTTCTATTGCCCATTTTTTTTATTTTTAAGTGGAACAAATATTTATTTAATAAAAATAAAATAATGCTTAAGTTCATCATCAGTAAAGTTTGATATGTAACACAATCTTCTAATTGTTAAAAATGTAAGGAAAAGAAAATGAATGAAATAAAAAGTATTATTTTAATGGCATAAGATAGTTTATAAATTTCGAGTAAGAAGTTCTATAAAATTGAAATAAACCAAAAAAGCAAGAAAAATCTTTTACATAAATCTATTTTATGTAATTTTATCAAATTACAGATATTCACCTTTTATAGGAGTTAGAGTGGGCGTGTACGAGACAAAAAGATAAACTTATGTAACTTCTATTTGAAGGTATTGTAAGATAAGGAAAGAATGATCTTTCTTTTCAGATTTTAAAAATTCCTGCAGGCTCTTGACTCTTGTAGACTGTTATTTGTAGGCAAATTTGATTTTATTTTGCCGGGCTTTGGTACTAATGCATAGCAGAAGCTAATCGGATTCTATCGATTTTTAACCTTAATTTAATCAAAGTAATTAAGGTGATTCACATCTTGATTTTTATTAATCCATATCACCTTAACCGATATGACAAATATATATTTATTTGTACGATAAAGTGATATGATAAATTAAAAAAGAAGTTTTAAGTACTTTGGTTAAAACATCTTGTTATTTCTAGAATGTGTAATATTTTAGGATATAAATTCCAATTTTATTTTAGCAAACAAATAATATTTTTAGAATAAACAGTTAACTTATAAATAATATAGTTTCCAGCCAATCTATCGATTTCCTGTATTCATAACTACGCGCCTGGTCAAATTTAGTACCTTATGTGTGCTGAATCATTTTCGCTGTCCCGCAATATTTAATTAACTGCAGTAATCATTGCATTTTTAGCCGTGAATCAAGTAAAACATTCAACCCAAAATGCAGAAGGTTCTACTGCTGCTGGTCGCCTTCCTGGCCGTGACCGTGGCTCAATCGAATCCACATGAGAAGCCCGGATTGCTGCGTGTGCCGCTCAAGAAATTCCAGTCGGCACGGCGCCACTTTGCCGATGTTGGCACGGAATTGCAACAATTGCGCATTAAGTACGGCGGTGGCGATGTTCCGGAACCGTTGTCCAACTACATGGATGCCCAGTACTATGGACCTATTGCCATTGGTTCGCCGCCGCAGAACTTCCGAGTGGTTTTCGACACCGGCTCCTCGAATCTTTGGGTCCCTTCTAAGAAGTGCCACCTGACGAACATAGCCTGCTTGATGCATAACAAGTATGATGCCACCAAGTCTAAGACCTACACCAAGAACGGCACTGAGTTTGCCATCCAATACGGCTCCGGCAGCTTGTCCGGTTATTTGTCCACGGATACGGTTTCAATTGCTGGCCTGGACATTAAGGATCAGACATTTGCCGAGGCGTTGAGTGAACCCGGTTTAGTCTTTGTGGCCGCCAAGTTCGATGGTATCTTGGGTCTGGGCTACAGCTCCATCTCCGTTGACAAGGTGAAGCCCCCGTTCTACGCCATGTACGAGCAGGGATTGATCTCAGCTCCGATATTTTCATTCTACCTGAACCGCAACCCCGCCTCCCCCGAGGGCGGTGAGATCATCTTCGGCGGTTCTGATCCCAACCATTATACAGGTGATTTCACTTATCTGCCTGTCACCCGTAAGGCCTACTGGCAGATTAAGATGGATTCCGCCTCCATTGGCGATCTGCAGCTGTGCAAGGGCGGTTGCCAGGTCATCGCTGACACGGGCACCTCGCTAATTGCGGCGCCCTTGGAGGAGGCCACCTCCATTAACCAAAAGATCGGTGGAACTCCCATCATCGGAGGACAGGTGAGTTCCGAGTTCTTAGATATATTATATAAAGTCATGTCCGAATATATATTTTGCATCCCCTTTTAGTATGTTGTTTCCTGTGATCTGATTCCCAACCTCCCGGTAATAAAGTTCGTGCTGGGCGGCAAGACCTTTGAGCTGGAGGGCAAGGACTACATCCTGCGAGTTGCCCAGATGGGTAAGACCATTTGCCTGTCCGGTTTCATGGGCATGGACATCCCCCCGCCAAATGGACCCTTGTGGATCCTGGGCGATGTATTCATTGGCAAATACTACACCGAGTTTGACATGGGCAACGATCGTGTTGGTTTCGCTGATGCCAAATAATCGAACAAAGAATGATATACTTAAAATTTTAAATTGTAAACATTATCGATCCCATTGGGCTTTCTTGGAAGAACCCACGGAATATAAATGTACTACCTATAACGTTTCTTTGTTTGATTTCGAGTTGTTTATGCCAAGTTTTTGCTTACTTATCGGCTGAATATATTTTGCTTGCTCCGCTTTTTGATAACGTACTATATTATGTATACATATGTGCAAATTGCATTTGTCATGATCACTGGCGAGGCTAAGTGAAAACGAATGTACATGTCTGTCTGCGGAGCTTTTTCCACTCAATTAATTTCTATAATGTATTTTTCTATACGACGATGTGTTCAAACAGAGCGAAGCTTGAATCAGCAAGTTGATAACAAATCCCAGAGATCAACGGCTTCCTCCGTTGTCATTTAATTAACACAACTCTACAAAGTTCAGAAAATTCCATTTAAAAGTCTTTTATAAATAATATTGGCTTTGTATGCATATACCGATCCTTTTTAGTTTAACAAATTATAAATTTAGCTGGCTAGGAAAAATTAATCATTTATGCATTTTTGTCTGATTGTTACAACAAGATCATGTTGGTTTTATGGTTATAGTGTTAAAAGATGCGACAACTATGAGTCATTTCTTTTTCTTTCATTCAAACTAAACTAAACTATTTATTAAAAAAAACTAATATGAAAAAAAGTTCCAGATGTTAGTTTAGTTAAATAAAACCATAAAAAAAAATTAGAAAGAAGAAAGAAGAAGAAACTTTTTAAAAAGTGTTATTTTTGTTGTTTTGACAGTATAGTAATCTATTATCACAATATATATGTATCTTTTTAACTACAATACCTTTGTGTTTACTGAATCATGGGTTCTTCCGGATCAATGATTGATGAAATCAGGCCGCCAGTATGGAGAACCGCTCCCGTTTTCACCTACATAATTCTATTGTTTTTGCTGAGCCTATCAGTTGCCAGCTACTTGAGCTACTCGAGATAGCCTTAGACCCAAACCGAAAGAATTGAAAACAACTGGCGCGTGTGGGTTCTTCCGGATCGATGTCAAGTCTGACGTATGTTTCAAACCCGTTGTATTCGTAGAGAACTTTTCGGCGGAGCACCTAATCCCACTATTGGCTGGGCAGGTTATCAATGGAACTCAATGCGCGTTGACAGTGCCCCTGAAGTGACCTTTGTACTCTGACTGAATCAGCAAAAGTGAACGATAGCCGCTGAAGTGGTATGCACTTAGTTGCCAGAACAATCCATGTAGTTGAACTTTTATAACTTATCTATTACGCTTTTCATAAGCTTTGTCTACTTAGGCCACTTGAAGAGTTATCACTGAAGTTCATGTAATCTCATATTAAAACCATAAATCGAGATTTGTAATAGAACATTTAAATTTAAGTGCTTTTGTAACAAATATATTTAAGCTATATAATGAACAGTATTTGTATAACTTGAAATCTCAAAAAATATAAATTAGAATGTGCCTGCTTGGCTTTATTCCAATTAGCCAAGATTGACTATACTATAGAGAGTAAAAATAACGGCTGAGTGGATAAGATGACCATTTAATACTAGGCAAAGACACTAAGCTAATAGATACATGCTGGCAGGCGAGCTGTGATTTGTTTGATTCTCCACGAGCCCCACTGCTCCTGCTCACTTCGGTTTGACATTGGCCGACAGTTCGTCACTGGTCGGCGTGGATGTGTCGGCCGCGGTGACGGCTTCAGGCACCGGTTGCACATCCGGCTGGACCTCTACGGTCTTCGCTGTGCTCAGGCTAGGTTCGCGCTCTTCATCGGATTCCGTGGTCTCGCCGATTAGCTGCAGGGGCGTGATCAGTTTGCCACCGGCCACCTTGTACATATCACAGGTCTCGTTCACGTAGCGGTTAAAGACGTCTGGCTTGTCGGCGTACACGTGGTGGCCGGCGCCCGTCACGATCTTGATGTCCACCATGTTGCTGCCGCGTTGCGACTTAATCTTCTCTCCCGACGAAGAATCAATCCACGATCGTGAACCGTAAATGAATGTGATGGGTATGTCGCTGCGGACGTCCTTTATGCGGTGGATCATGGGATGTTTGGCCCAGCCGAAGGATTGCATCATTGTGTGGAAGGCGGACTCACCACTGGGACTCTGAGCATTGCACTGGTGTATGTATTGCGGCAGCAGATTAATGTCCTCCTCGATGGTGCTCTGGAACTTACGCATAATATCTGGGCGAGTCTTTTGCACCACCCACTGACCAAAAGGTCCGGCGGCGCGCAGAGCCCACAGCGGATTGAGGGGGGTCAGAACTCTAGCTATGGCCCGCACCCAGAGCGGTATAGTTTTGCCGTTGGTCGAATCCGAGGGCTTCTCAGGAAAGCCCCAGGGATCTGCCAATATAAGATGTTTGACCCGCTCTGGGTACGAAAGGGCGTAGCTGGAGGCAATGAATCCGCCCATCGAGTGGCCCAGCAGAATCATGTCATTGATGTTCATCTCGCGGCGCCACTCTTCCACCGATTTAACAAATTGCTTTTCGCACACAAGCGCATCTTTTGCGAACAACGGTCGCGAGCTGCGCCCGAATCCGAGAATATCCATGGCGTAGACAGGCCGACCCTTAGCAAAGGCATCAAGGTTCATTACCCACAGGGCAATCCCAGCTCCTAAGCCATGAAGCAGTACGAGGGGTACCTCCTTGGACTCGGTGTTCATGCTGATAGTCCAGATTTTGTCCGCCTCGCCCACAGCCGGTCCAATATCTACGAAGAAGCCCCGGTAGGGCAACTTCACGTATGACAGTATCTTTTTCTCTACGGCGCGTAGCATGGTCGGTGAGCTGGATGTCCAGTTACACAACCATTTCCAGAGGAAGAATCCGTTGTTTCGGGGATCCTGTCGGCGAGAGGTGAAAGTGACGAGTGAATTTGTGCTGGGGCTAGGGTGTCAGAGTGTTGTGTGTTCGATGGGCACCTCTAGCCGCTGGCTATGTGATCCATGCCAGGTGTTCCGACCCGAAAATTACTTAACCAGCGGCTGTGAGTCAATTGCGCAGTTGATTGCAAAATGGGGCAAGGGAAACGGGGATATTTTTGTTAGGGATTTTCCGAAATTTCACAAGCCAGGGCCGACTACGATGTGAAACTGGACCTGGACCCCCTGCTTACCTCTAGGTCCATACCCTGTTTGGATCCCGATCCCTGCGAAACTGTGGGCAGCGGCAGGTTGGAAATAGAGGCGGAAGTAGAAGAAGAAGTGGGTGGCGGATCCACCACGCCGCTGCTCGCCAATGCCAGCGGTTCGCTCATTTCGCTCACGATCTTATCCGGGTCTCTCACTTCAGAATTTTTTGGGAAAAGTGTGCGGGGGGTCTTCTAATAACAATATTCCGCCACCATTTGCGCGCTACGTGCGTACCCGTCGAATGTCGAGAGTTTCATGAATATTGACACGAAAGTAAAATCTAATTTGTACCCCTTAGTACTGCCAAGTTGTGATGACTTTGAACTTCTGCTAATGCTCCGCGGGAAGTGCTTTGGTTTGGTCTGATTCGGGTTTCGTGTCGCAATTACATGTTATCTATTCTAATGGTGAAATACTTGTTGTATTGTTGTAGCTAATCTGGTGGGAAGAGCGACTAACAAATACAGACGTACAAAAACAAACCGAATGCGGTCACACCGTCAGCTGGGTTGCGCAGCTGTTCGCCGGCAGTGTTGGAGTAACGGTTGAAAGTTGACAGTGGCGTTGTTTTGGGGTGGCATAAAAGGGATCATTTTAATAAAATTTAGAAGTTACTTATTTATTTGTTGCTTTTAATTGTATAAATGTTTTTTATATTTTTTTTTTAATTTTCTCTTTATTAATTGATTTAACAATACTTCATATGTTTTAAGAATGTTGAACTATCACATGTATAATTTATACTATAAACTTGAAAGGTTTTATTAACTTTTTTTCAACAAACTGAACGAGAAGCAAACCTGAGGCCATCTTAGACTGTATTAAGACATATACATACATATATAAAATGCCCATTGTTTAAGAGAGTTTATTAAAAATCGCAGGACACCGGTTCTATATTTGATGAACAGAAGATTAAAAAATTATTTAAAATTAACATTACCATGTACACATGTATGTAGGTGCAATATTATTATATTTCCGGTGTAGCGACAAGTTTAAATCTATAACACTACAATACAATACTATTTCTTATAAACAATGTACATATGCATATCTGTACGTAATTATCAATCCATAGTGTCATATGAAACATTAAAGGTATTTTAATTTCCTTAATGCATTTACAACGTATGTTCAAACTTATACATAAATAAGAAACAGGAAATCAGAACCGCATCCTATAAATACACAGTTCTACCGCAGCTGGAGGCCCGGAAGAAGCAGAGCTACGCATCACTGGACCCCCGGCGTATACGGTCAGTTTAAAAGGGACGTGCTTCAAGAACATTTCTTATTGCGATCCCCACATGGACGGCATAAACAAGTATAACGAATTTGTAGCACTGCACAAGCCGCAGCTGGAATCCTCGGCGGTTCCAGTGCATTTTTGGCCAGCCCTTTACCGAAAGCTGTCCACGGACACCTTCGATGCCGGCGAGGCACTGCAGTTGATGCTGATTGACTACGACGATAATGATGATCAAAACCCTGCAGAGGACGACGACAGTCCCAATCCAGTGTTTGCACTGGGCGTGGCTCGGGAGCAGGGCCTAAAGGCTAGTGATCCTCAGGCTATCTATTTGGTAGATCACGCCTGGACATTCCGGCTAAACAATGCCCGGCGGCAATTAGAGCAGTATCCGCAATTGGCGGACCGTTTGTCAGCCATCACCGGTGTTGATCTGGAGTTAGAAGACCGGATCGACAAAATATTACACCGCCTGTGGAAGTATTGTCACGCCTACTCCATCGGCAGCGAGGGTCTGTCAGATGAGGAGAGGCAGCCCATTTGGTATGTGATGGACGAGGTAGGCTCGGCCGTGAACCACTCAGATGATCCTAATTTCCGCCTTGTGCCATTACTCTACTTGAACACGCAAACCACGTATAGTGTGATGTTCCCGATTCGAGACTGTGAGGTCGGGGACCAGGTCACCCGAGACGCGGTGGAATATGTGGCGAAGGAGGCGCCGCAGAGGAAAGCTCTGCTTTTACCCTGGCGCGATGCCGATCTCACGGATGAAAGCTTCTTGCAGGTAGAGCCACGCGCTGATTACTTCACCAGTGGTCACATCCCTGAGACTTATCCCAAAGATAATACTGATCCACTACCAGCCAGGTCACGTTGCGATCCCTTGAAGGTGTATGCTGAGTACGAGGTGGTGCGTCAGCATCTCACTTCGCCCGAGTTTATCCTGGTTAGTAACAAAGATGAAGCGGATGTCTTGTGGCTCACACATCACTTTAAGAACTTTGAGGAGTTTGCTAATCAGGCGCCTGGCAAGTTCATCAATCAGTTTCCCTTTGAGTACGTGATCACCATCAAGGATTTGCTCAGCATTGTTGGTCGACGGGCAGCCAAGGAGCACCACAACGAACTTACCCTGGAAACATATCCGAGTTGGCTTCCCACCACCTATAACTTGTCTACGGAATTAAAGGAGTTTGTTGCTTATTACCAAACGAGGGCAGCCAAAGGCCTCGACAATCACTGGATCATCAAGCCATGGAACTTAGCTCGTGGTCTAGACACTCACATCACGAACAACATTAAGCAAATCGTGCGACTGCCTGCCACTGGGCCAAAGATTGCCCAGAAGTACATCGAAAGGCCAATCCTCTTTAGTCGAGAGGAGCTGGAGGGCCGCGTCAAGTTCGATATTCGCTATGTCATACTCCTGAAAAGTGTTAAGCCTTTGAAAGCCTATGTGCACCGCAAGTTTTTCCTGCGTTTCGCCAATCATCCTTTCTCACTGGATCACTTTGATGACTACGAGAAGCACTACACGGTGATGAACTATCAGGAAGAGGCGCAGTTGCATCACGTGAAGTGCGACGACTTTCTGACCCTCTGGCAAGAGCAGTATCCAGAGAACAACTGGTCTAACATAGAACAGCAGATCTGTGAAATGCTGCACGAGGTTTTGAAGTGCGCAAGTCAAGCAGATCCTCCCTGTGGATTGGCACCTTGTTCGCAATCCCGAGCTCTGTATGCTGCTGACATTATGCTCCGATGGAAGGACAACAAGGAGAAGGTAATGGAGCCCCAGTTATTGGAAATCAACTGGACTCCCGATTGCAAACGCGCTTGCGACTATTATCCGGATTTTTTCAACGACATCTTCCGGCTGCTTTTTTTGGACGAGGAAAACGACGAGAGCTTTAGGTTGCTGACAGCGGAAAATTGACATAATAAATTAATAAACATAATTTCCTAATGCTTAATGCTTATTCGTGTATTTCATTTCGTTTAGACTATACAAAACTTAAATAGCTTGCCATTTGTACAATATACAAGTAGGTGTGTATGCTTCTAAGCGTGGGAACTAAGTGCTAAAGGCTTAACTAACTAGGAAAGCAAGTCAGTTGGTGGTGTGGCTTACGGTTCTATCATAGCTTGGACAAGTTCTAGAGTCAAGAATTTAGTGTAGAGTTCAAATAGTGAGCTTACAGTTAACGCGTTTACAATTCTCAATTGCAAATGGCACTTGATGAACGATGAACAATGGTAAAGAGTGAAATGATAACTATACAGGATGATATCCCATGAATATATATTAAAGTCAATGATAACTTTAACTTAAGGCAATTTCAAAGGCACCTCAGTCAAGCGAAGTTCACGTTGGAACGGAAACGATAAAGTCAATCCAAACATAATGTAAATATAAATATATAGTCTTCTATATATAAGCTGCTAAGGGTCTTGTTCTTGGCATAAATCTTCATTCAACACGCGGGATCTTGGCTTAACTTCGAATAATACATGTACGAACTAATAGTGTGGAAATGCAAGGGAAAATGTCAATGAATGAATCTTAAACTAGCTAGGTGGTACACCTAAAATAGTGCTTATAGCTATAGGCTCGACTACAACCACTAAACGCAGACTTCGTCAAAGTCCAGACGTATCTTCTCATCAGCGGAAGCTAGCTTATGTATAGTCTTTTTGATGCGCAGCGCTGGCAAGCGCACGTTGGGGTTTTGGTGCCAGCACTCTTTCATGAGCTTAGACATGCCAGCCAGTAACTACAGAATGGAAATAACTAGATTTAAAATTCAAATGTTTATAACCAAAATAGACTTACCGAATCTGAGCTCCAACGATTAGGAATGGATGGCCTGTAGTTGTCGATGCAGACCACCTTGCGCATATCCTCAAAGCTGGGATCCATCGGCACCACATCGTAAAAAGGCACCTTGTACTCCTCGGCAATGCCGCACGAAATAGTGCGGCGACAAACCTCCCATAGGACCAGTCCAAAAGCATAAATATCAGTACGGCGCAGCGCTTCAAAGCATTCCAAATCAATGCTGTAAGGAAACAGAGTTAAAAATATAATTCAGCGTACCCTTATTAAACACCCACCTCTCATCCAGAACTTCTGGAGCCATGTATCGCTTGGTGCCCACTTTAGGATTGTTACCTAAATCTAGTTGTCCTGTGACATGCGAATGGGTGACGGCCAATCCAAAATCTGCAATGACGCAGGATCCGTTCGATGTGACCAGTATATTCTTTGACTTCAAATCACGATGAGCCATCGCTGGCTTCCCTTGCTTGCCGAATATCTCTGTGTGCAGGTGCACTAATCCATTAGCTATGGATAGGCAAATCCATATCATGTCGTTGTGGCTCAGAGCGTTGCGATTCAGGTGATCAAAAAGAGAGCCCAGTGGGTAGTAATGTGTCATCAGCCAAAGTTGAGTGCACGAGTTGCGAGACGTCATGTCGGAACCGATGAAGCCGAGAATATTTTCATGGCGTAGCAAAATGGTGCTGAAAGATATAATAAGTTATTGATGATTCATAATGCAACAGGTAATGACGATTAGCTTTCAAGGTAGGTGAACGAAATACTCTACGTTGTGCCTTATTCGATGGGAATGAAACTCATAACATATTAGGTTAACAATTATTTGATTAAACAATAGAATTTAGAAAAATAAATTATTGAAAGTTTTCAAATTGTTGAATCACAAGATCTTTTAAAAAAAATGTACTCACCTGTAGATCTCGGTCTCGCGTTTCCATGATTCCTCATCGCGACTGAAGAATATCTTAACGGCAATGCTTTCACCGTGCCAGTGACCGCGCCATACCTCTCCGTACTTTCCTCGCCCAATGCATTCAATCAAAGTGACCTGTTTGGCTAGAGTTCGCTGCACTAACAGGGGCAGTCCGCTGCCCGATCCTGAGGTCACAGAGTGCTGGAGGTACTCCCTTAGCGTGCTGTCCCCAGCGCTAGTAGCCCGCAACAGCTCATCACTGACCAGATACGCTTCTGGATCCTGTTTAGTACGCGAGGCAGCCAGACGCTTGCGATGACTACGACGGATGAAAAAGATGGTGACTGCGCCCAGCAGCGCGATAACCAAAAAAGGACCAAGAATGGCAACAGACATCTTGCTTATATTACTGGTATCCGCCGTTATAACTGTCACGTCATTGCTGCCAAGCGGCAGGAGTTCCGGAAATTCCCCATCATTGCAATAGTCGCCGGCGCAGCATGCCACATTGACAAACATGGCCGTGTTGCGTTTGCTGGGCCCATTGATCTTCAGTGAGTTCTGTGTGCAGATCATATTCAGTTGGTCTGGCGAGGTGCTACAGCCGCGGGACTCGAGCACCTGGCCTTCGGCATTCCGGGTGCGCGATTTCCAACACTTTTAGAACGATAAGAGCGATTTAGAAATGAATAAGGATGTTTAAACTCATGACTTTACCTGAATGGCATTTTGACAGATGTGGGAAAGCTCATAGGGGTCCAGGCAGGGCGGCTCGCAGGAATAGCATTTGTACCTGTTTAAAAACGGAGACTCTAATAAGATTTCCAGAAAATACATTTGATAATAACATTTCTTTATATTAAAATCACAGTCATAAATATATGTTTATGTACCCTTATAGTTGGGCCATGATATTTTTAAGATTAAGTCGACCAATTTTGATGAAACTGAAATCTTTTACTGAATCCATAAAATATAATATAATTATAAAAAAAAACAAGAGGAAACGCTATAGTCGAGTGCCGCGACCATAAGATACCCGTTACCGTTTTACAAAATTTTAAAATATTATTTTGCTAGTGGAAATTCACAAGGCGCCACCTATTGTCAGAGGAAGTATGTTGAGTATGCTTATAGTGACGTCACTGCCCATGTGAGGCCTTATAACTTAATTTCTTTATAAATAGCGAAATAATGTTCCGATTTAAAAAATCTTTGGTAAATCGATAGGTATTAACAGAAATAAGTTACACAAGGTCAAACGAAGGCATTCATAATAATATTATAGACGCCACAGTTTTCCGCGGTTTGTGGGCGTCAGAGTAGGCGTGGCCGGATGCAACTTCGTGGAAAGTTGCAAAGGCATCTCCTAAATACGTGATCCAAAACAAAATTATGTAGCTCTTATAGTTTTTGAGATTTTTGCATTTTTGGTTGTTCAGGTTTTGTGGGCGTTAGAGTGGGCATGGCTTGATCGGAAAAAAACAATTCGCATTGGGAGCGTAATAGAAACCTATATGCTTAATCCGAACTTTCTATCTCTTATAGTTACCGAGATTTCAGCTTTTCTAGAAAATCCGAAAACCGTCTTTTGAGCCTTGTGGGCGTATGGGTGGGTGTGGCTGGATAGCAGTACCACTATAAGATGCGCTGCCATCTAATGATTATACTTTTTGAATTTCAACTTTCTAACTGCAATAGTTCCTGAGATTTCAGCAATTTTAGTTTTTTGCGATTTGTGGGCGTTAGAGTGGGCGTGGCAGGATGCTGTAATAAACTTGCGCTGTCCCGGAACCTCAAGAATCTTCATGCTTAATCTCAATTTTGTATCTGCTATAGTTCCTGAGATCTCAGCGTTCATACGGACGGACGGACGGACGGACGGACAGACGGACATGGCTCAATCGACTTCGCTATTGATCCTGATCAAGAATATATATACTTTATAGGGTCGCAAAAGCTTCCTTCTATCTGTTACATACTTTTCAACGAATCTAGTATACCCTTTTACTCTACGAGTAACGGGTATAATAAAAATCTCTCCTAAGAACAAAAATAAATTTAAAAAAAAAATTGAACAATCTGATAGCTTTCTAGAATTTTACATTTTGCAGTGATTCCGCGTGATTTTGATCACTTAAAAAGGAAACTACCTTCCTTCTTTATTTGCCAATGTTTTACCTTCTTTTCATTCGTCGCTTACTCTTAATGTGTCTCCTAATCAAGGATTAGCAGCATGGAATATGGGTTGTTAAAGAGGTTAGCAATACAGTGACTTTTCGATCAAAGCGGGGATTATTATCTAAAACTTTTAATCAAGATTACCTGGGATGCGTCTGTACAGAGTTCTGTGGCACGGCCGGTAGCTCTTTACCATTGAGATGGTAGGAGGAGGAGGGCTCCATGTCTAAATCCGGAATGTCCTCCCGCAAATGATCGCTGATTTCAGCTGAAAAACAACAAATGCACATTAAAGCATACATACATATGTACATGTGTACATCTATGCATGCAAAGCCCCAATACTACTACTACTACAACACACATAGAAACGCACACAGGCGCCCCAGCAAGTTCTGTATACACACACGAAACTTTGGTGTGCGTGGGTAAATCATTAAGAAAATGCACTTATGCTGCAAACGCCCACGACTTCCGTTTACATAATGTATATATGCTCCTCCAGTTGTGGTTTTCACTGATAAGTATCCTGAAAACACCTTTTCACACCGAGCCTTGCAAAATACGCAGCACAATTGGTCAGAACCGTAGCATATGAAAACAAATTCAAAACATTTGGCCACTTTTCAGTTTCGTTGTTGGGGCTCAAAAAGACTTTGCAGGCTGAGTTTTTCATATGAACTCTCTTTCGGAAACACTCAATAATTGTTTAACACTAATTAAAGCCCACCTCTGGCATTATTGTATAGTGAAAACGACAATAGAAAAACTAAAAATAAATTGGACTCCATTGCTCCATTCCGTTTCTAGAGTGCAGTGTGACCGGATCGAAATGAAAAGGAGAACGCAAGCACATACCAAAAATACTGAGACCCAAAATTTACTAAATGGCCTGCGTAAATATACCAAAGCATTGGCCGCACACACACAAACACGAGCAGCCGGTCCAGCGGAAAAGTTTCTAGAACGTCGAACTCGAACTCCATTTAAAAATCTATTAAAACTGCATTCGAGTGATTTTATATTGTTATTAAATAATTTATTCAGTAAAGTTATAACAACAGAAGCATAAATTATTACAATTCAGGTGAGAGGGATGTGCATTATTTGGTTTTATTGTAGAAGACCATCACAATTGGAGGTCTTGTATAGGAAATTGAAGTTGTTTTTGTACATGGTAGCGACACTTTATATTTCCCATTAACGTAAATAATTTACAGATTCTATAAATTAACTTAAAACAAACATTTATGTAGTATAGGTTTCCATGTCTGCCGCGACCGGTTTGTCCAGAAAATCAATTAGTTTTAGTTCGTATCGATCAAACAAGAGTTTTTCCCCTCCCACACCGCAAACATGTGTTCGGTCACGTAACTGTTATAATTTTCCTCGTTTTCCTCAGAGAGGAGATACACACGCAGTAGGGACTACTATATAGACCTCTATGTACCGCCCACCCAATACATCTTTACATGTCCGTCGGCCGTTGGTAAACATTACAATTATTATCATTGCCTATATGCATGTACACACACATTGTAAAGATATAGTCGTTTATTGTACAATTAGTTGGGTTGCGCCAGAAATCGCATAATGTGTGGGGGCGGAAGAAGTGGCTGGGAGGCGGGGGAAGAATCTCGCTAAACAAAAACAATTGGGGGCAAGTGGTTTTTTCGCGCTTATCACGAGCCCCTCACTGCGCAGATACCGCTCTCTCCGGCTCTCAAAGCCCCTTCAATATTTGCCGGCGTTTCAGTCGGTACGCTCTCATTCTTATAAACACGCTCGTCGGGAAAGCATCGCTCCCAATAACACAAACATTATAAAAAAAACAACATACAAAAAACAACACGTAGGTAAAACGCGTCCCCTAGATTTTTAGAAACTACGCAGTTCGTTTATTTATTGGCCGACAAATAAAATAGCGCGTGTTCAGTTTATACTCACTTACATAATGCTAATAATACGGCCAAAAGCCGGCTATTTTTTGGCAACGACCTTACTGCGTCATTGATTTAATATTTATTTGCTTATCTACTGATTAGAAATTAGAATTTCGTGATGTTGATATTTGGTTACGAGTTAGTCAGGACCTAGGTCAACCTTGGAACTTAGTAGTTGCCTTATCGCTGATTTACTTGGAAAGTTTCCATAGACCTTTTTAACAGGTTTCATACAGTTGTATTCATAGCAAAATCCCTCAAGGATTTTATTAAGTTATTAATAAATAAAAAGAAAAATGTAACAGAAGTTGAAGCTGCTTCATGGATAAAGGTTTAATTGTTTTATGAGTAATATATGTACATATGTACATAAAAGTATATACGAGTAGATCTTATGAAATTGGTATGCCGAAGATATTACTGAGATCATATTTGAATCGTTCACTCAATACACCAGCTTGTCTGTTGCAATAATCAATAATACGCTATCGTTGAAGATAATTGTACCTATTTCCAATTTCAGAACCTTCCAGAAAGCAAACTCTTTTTCTAAGGGAAAGAAACCAAGCAACCCTTAACAAACAATCAAACAAACAAAAATTAAACCCTCAAAAGTGATAAGAAAATTGTTATTTGTGTAGAAAAAGTGCCGATAAGAGACCCGAAGAGATCTCTCCGTGAGTGAAGTGTCCCTTTGAGAGAGCTATGTCCGCATCCGCTGCCGGTTCGCGTAATAAACACTCCAAGGTCCGTAACGATGAGCAGCTCGACATAAGCAAAGACGAGTTCAACCGGATCAAGGAGGCCCTCAAGCAGGAGGAGTTCCGCAAGTTATTTTTCGACTACGTCGAGGAAATCCAGGACCCCGAAAATCGAAAGATCTACGAGGAGGAGATCACCCAGTTGGAAAAGGAACGTGGCGTGGAGGTGAAGTTTATCCACCCACAACCAGGATTCGTAATTAAGACGGCGTTGGATGGTGAGGTTAAGTGCTTCATTAACATCGCCGGTTCTACGGAGATCGAGAGGCCTAAGAATGAGGTGGCAACCGATCCATCAAATGGCAGACGTGGTTTGAGCTGGTCCATTCCCATGGCTCAGACATCTTCGCGGGATGATTGCGATGCCAAGAACAATCATTGCAAGGTGTTTGACGTGGTTTTCCATCCGGATGCCCTGCACCTGGCTAAGCGGAACAAGGAGTTCCGGCAGTGCCTTATTGATACGGCACTGGACGCTGTTGAACGTGAGTTTAAGGTCGCCCTAGATCGAGCCAATCTTAAATTCCCTAAGCTGGACTACAAGGGCATCGCCCGCCCCACTGTGATACGCAAGCTGGCCGAGAATCCTACGGCTGAGCAGCAGGAGCCGCATCCCCTGGCGCACATGTTTCCCACAGAACCACCATCTTCTAAAAAAGTTGAGCCTCGGGTCCTGCCTATGAAAGCGAAGCCCACTCCCGTGCCAGAGTTCACAGTCCCCAAATATTCAATAAAGTATAGTCACGATGTGGACCTGTCAGAGTACACGGACGAGCTGGACGCTAAGCTGCATGTGACCGTTCCTCGTTCCCTCGTCGTCGAGATCGAGCTGCCTCTGCTTCGCTCTACAGCCGAATGCCAACTGGATGTTACATCAAAGTCTGTATTTCTATTTAGCGAGCGTCAGGGCGCCAAGTACCGCCTGAAACTAGACCTGCCCTTCACCGTGGACGACAAGGCGGGACGGGCCCGCTTTGATACGGATCTGCGTCGCTTGAGCATCACATTACCCGTGGTGCGGAAGAGCGGGCAGGAACATGCCCAAATGCATGAAACCCTGCGCAACTTTAGCCGCGAGGATAGCGGCGTAGAGCTGCATTCCAACAGCGAGTCGCCTGTGGAGGAAGATCCCGATGGCGAACTGAGCGATTCCAAGGCGGATATTTCCGAGACTGGTAAGTAACAAAAATGGCGTGATATTTTTGACTTTCGGGCAGTTTATAGTTAAGCAGTTCATAAAAGTAGAAACAAAAATGGCACATCCGACCTTATGTGACCAATGTAATCTCTTACTTGTTAAGCTAGCTAGTAGTATATATTTTAATATAATATATACTTTTATATAGTTGTTATAAATAATATTATATATTAAACTAAGAAAATTAACAGTTTATTATATAGAAGACCGTTTGTCATAACTAATCCATATTCCAATTGTGTGTTCCCGTAGCCACGCCCACTGCCACACCTGTGCGCAACGCCAACAGCCCGTTCCTTAAGAGCTCCGTGCACTACCAACTCCCCAGCAAGTTTGATTGCAACGTGCTGGACAATGTGATGGCCTTCGTGCTTCACGTGCCCAACGTTCAACCTGATTCCATTGAGCAGTTGAAAGAGCAGCGAAGCCTCCACCTGCAGTTCGCCACTATTGGCAGTGGCTATTATCCCACCCACTATGCTTTTTACGTAGAACTGCCGGAGGAGGGCGATGAATCCGCCATTGAGAGCGTAGAGGCGGAGGCATGGGACAACAATGTTGTGCTCAAGCTGTGCCTGAGCTCGCAGAGCGAGGCTCCCGCTTGCTATCTCGCAGGACTAGATGCCACGGATATCAAGGAGTACCCAGTCCATGGGCAGTACAATGTGAATACCAAGGGGAGAAAAGATGCAAAGAAGAAGAATGCTCCGCTCGATATCAAGTTCGAGCACAACCAGGAGGGCCAAGCCTTAAAGGTTACCATTCGTCCTGGAGCAAAGGAGGAGGAGGAGGACGATGAGCAACAAGATCAAGAGCACGAACAAGAACAGGAGCAGCAGCAACAAACTCAGAGCAAAAAACCCGGCAAGAAGCAACGCAAGCGAAACAAGAAGGAGCGTTCCCTTTCCGAATCTGCCTGCGAGGATATGCTCGTCCAGGAGCCTTTGGCTGGAAATCGCGAATCGCAACCGAAATGCTCTTTTAAGGTGCCTGCACAACGCAAGCAACGTAGCTTTTCTGAGTGTAATGACAGTACCCGGGGCTCACATCGCGGCATCCTCAAGCGATTTAGTCGCTACGCACCACGGCCCTCAATATCGGATAGTTGCTCTTCCATCGACGACTGCTCTTCGTACTCGTGCTCCGTGGACGCCTCCGGAACCTCACTGTTCTCGCATTCATTTGGCGGTATTCCCGAGGAAGACCGGTCAGATGCCGGGCTTTCGGAGAGCTGCAAGAAGACTGTTAGGTTTAATGATCACATCATGAAGCAAGTGTTCCGGTGAGTACGATTTATATCCCCTCCAAATTGCCAGCAATCTTATAATTTGTTTTATTGCACAGGCTTGACTCAAGCATCCTGGGTCAGCGGAAGAAGAACCAGAAGCGACGCGATCTCAAGCTGCGGGCTCAGCAGCGTCGCCTCAGCGAAGGTGATTCCGTTGATTACGAGGAGACCCGTGGCACTGCCCTCAAGGTGAGATCTAGATCCAGATTGCACTGGTCTGGTTAATTGAGCGAATATCCCGGCTAGTTAGAAGGCGGTCAGATTGTTACCCTGATAATTGAATTAGTAACACTCGGCGAAATCTGGCAGATTGGCACGATTTGCCTCACACCAGACATTATTATTGATCAAGTCTTTGTTTAAGGAATTTTATTACTCGTGTGTGAAAGTTAAATAGATCTGGGGTAGGCTCTATTTATAGCAAAAATGTTGCGAAAATTAATTGAAGTATGGTAATTGATATGATTGATATGCAGCTGGCAAACCATGGGTTGGGAATGGAAAATTTCTGCATTTGTAGACAGCAAACAGTTAAGGAAATATATCGGATTTGCAAGTAAATTATTCCACTGTTATTTATTGATATTTTTGTTTAATAGAATTGCGCGAAAAGTGATTTAGAAAATATGACGTACATAAACCATATTTTTATTTGTCAGTCTTAAGTTTCTCTGACCTAGGATGCTTAAGATGCCATGCTTAGAGTACTTTATTGACATAAAACAACAATAATGATGTTAATTTTGATTACAGGAACAAGGGAATCCATCAAGAAATGGCAACAAGCCCCAGGGCGAGTCTTTGCTGCATGACAGCGGACTGGATCTCACTGGAGCAGCGAGTGCCCAAGGCAACAACAACGAATCGGATGCCAAGAACGCCATGATGTTTGAAATGGATGATTAAGATCAAGTTGTTTAAACCACAAATATATTCATATTTTTTGAGTGTTTTCAAGATTTTTAAATGCTACTTATATATTAACTAATGCTACGTTTTTTTTAAATATTTATACTGTAATTTGTTTTGCATCCAAGCAAATTGCTCAATTGGAATGAAATATATACAAAAATTGTATTTAGGCAACACAAATCAGGGCTAAATCAGAAATCAAAATATTCATTACATCATGTACCACTTGTTATATAATTCGGTTAATCATTGAAACTGTTAAAACGAAAGATGAAATCCTGCGCTGAACTGAAAAACCTATTATTATAGATTATAAATATTCATGTTCATTCATATTGCGAAACCCAGTTGATGTCTTACAAGTTTGCAAACTATAAGTTTTAAGTAAACATTTAAACATTCATTTATTGGCTGCATGCTCATAGCTCACAAAACAATCATAACACGATAAACTTACAACAATATCAATAGTTAACAATTCCTCTAGTATTATACACACAACAGAATCACCCGAAATGCATAAGTAGTGGATAAGCTATGTACATGTTTAGAAACGCTGGCTGAAGCAATGAATGTAATTTTAACTTTTGTAAGCGTGCTGAAAGTTAAAATATATAAACATCCCTTATGAATGAGAAATTCCGTATGTTTGAATTAGAAGTGATCCCCCAACAGCTTGTTAAAGTGTTCGATTTGCTGCAGTTCCCGCCGCTTCCCTTCCAACACATAAAGTACAGGGCAGTCGAGGGAATCGCACTGGAGGTTACCTAGCCGTCCGCAACAAGCCTGGCAGATCTGCCGGGTTAGGTAGTAGCTTCTCTCCAGACGAGCTGTTTTATCCGAAAGAAAAACTACACATTTGCTGGCGTTCTTCAGGCATTCTGGACAAATGCCTGCCTTGGTTTGGCGACCACAATCAATCACACAGCTGGTAGTGGAGAAATACTGGGAGATGGTTGACTTGGCGCCTTTTGCACCCGCCAGTTCGTTGGCCGTCCCTACAGCTGGCGTCATGAGCAACTTCCTTGGCAGACTTGCAAACCAATCATGCACATTGGCTCCAATGAGAAGCAGACAGCGATTCAGCGGTGGAATAATTGCTTTGGTGATGTAGTAGATCGCGTTGATCTTGTGACCCTCGTTGGCTAGGATGTCGTGAGGGCTGCGCACCAGTCGGATAAGCTGCATGCCCGGCGGCCCGTTGACTATTATAAAGGGCACGCGTTCACCGCGACGCGGCACATGTCTGGGATCCTTTTGCATCCATTTTCTGAAATCAACAATTTTAAGCAATGAATTGGATGCGGTAAATATATTTCTTGAACTGACCGTGTTAGTTCCAGTGCTGGTACACAGGCCGTTGGCTTGTAACCATTAAGACCTCTGAATTCTTTAGCGAATATTAGGTCCTGCAGATTGGCCCTGCCGGAAAGCAACTTTGTGAACTGTCGGCACACGTACGCTTTGATCTTGCTAACGTCTTGGGTCTCAAACAGGATTCGCAGCACCTTTTCCAGCATCTTGGCCACTGCAGGACAGCCATCCCGGCGCACAGTTTCAATGCCCTTGGCTTCGTAGACAGGTTGGGCCTGATCGGCAGTTTCGTACATGTAGCCCACATAACGCTTCTTGGTCTGTAGCATGCAGGGTTGATAGACCTTTTCCAACTTTAGCTTTACCGGATGCGGATTCATCTCGGTGACGGCTTGAGCAATCTCTTCGCCGATTCGAAAGGCTTCGGCTCGATTTCGGCCGGGGACAAGAACGAACATAGAGTCCGTATCGCCATAGACGACACGCACCTTCCACTTCTCATTCATCTCTACTAGTTTAATTGCCCGCTCCAGGGTCTCCCGTCCCTTGGAAACCACAGAATCACCGACCTCCACCGAAGGCATCCTGCCACTAAAGTTGGCAGCCGTGTAACCATATGTGACATTGGCCATCAGCTTAAGGCCCAACTGCCTGGAATGAAGAATCCGTTGGAGGGCTGAGCTATCTTTGTGTAGCTTCATCGACTGTTTGACCATTTGGCGTGTGTCTAGGATCTCAGTAAGCATGCGTGGCAGGATGCCCTCGCGCACTTCCCGCTTTACGAACACCACACCACATGGCGAAACGGTTATAAGATCGTGTTCCATTAGTTTCTGCAGCATCTGGCGGGGCACGCGCAGCTGCGAGGCCCCAAACTCGAAGGCGGAACTACTACCCAGATGCTCTACTCTACCCAAGCAGGTGGAGAAGCAGTAGTTGTATGCAATAATCATGCTGGGGTACAAGCTCTGAAAGTCAAGCACGATAAGTGGATCCGCATAAAAGCGTGACTGTGGCTCCATGATGAGAGCTAGATATTCCGGCGCACGCATATGAGCTCGAGCTTGGACACTAGGTGAAAGTGGTACCAGGTTCTTTGGCTTGGCGATTCTGTAAAGGTAAAGAGTTCATAAAATTGCTTCTCTTAGGGATTACACTCACCTTAGCATCATGCTTTCCACGCGAAATTGCGAACCACGCGACAAAACCTCGTAGAACTGGATTCCAATGAGTTTGGCCATTTCAGTGGTGCGTCCCAGTAAGTCCAACTGATCCAAGAGAGCCAAAGTGCCACGCACCCGTTCCAAATAATACTCCATCACTATCCACCGGGTACAGGGCGAGGCGAACCATTCGCTGAGGGACTTGGTAGTATGCCAAGGACATCTCTTATGCAAGATATGGTACATCACGTTCTCGAAAGTGTACGACGTCAAGGCGATCTCGGAACGCATCAGACGCCATACGTCTAGCAGAATACGGCCGCAGAGCTTCATTTCCACATCAAGATCGGTGAACTGCTCCCGATCTTCGTCCACAAAGTCTCGGACCTTTTGAGTGGGAACTCGTGAAAGCAGAGGAGCGATGTTGAAGCACAGATATTTAGCACGATCAATAACATAACCCCAGGAGGACATCTCGATCTCGTATCCAGCATATATATCAGCATCCCACCGTCCACACAGGGTCAGCAACGCCTCAAATGCCTCGGCCTCATTGGCAACCACTTGCACTTCAATATCGCGATCTAGACCGTGAATTAATCCTTCACTAAGTAAGTCCTGGGCATTATTTACCATTATATAGCCGCATGCCTTGCTAGGTAGATTTTCATCCGGCAAACTATGCTCAATGGCATAAAACAAAACGCGAATCTCGTCGTGCATCGGATCTGGTTGAAGCTCCCCTCTCGTGGACACAAATACCTCTAAAGTTATAATTGTCAGGTGGTTGCAATCAACGTCCGCTTTGGCCTGTTGTAGGTTCTCCAAATTAACCTTAAAGCCGAACGTGTTATCCAATGTGGCGTGGCTAAGTCCAAAGCTGAGGTCGTGTTGCTGCCTCTGACTGTTGCCCTCCAACTGGCGTAGAAAGGAACTCCTCTCTAGGACCGCCTGAGCGGCGCTACTGGAGACGCTCTGTTCGCTGGACTGGGAGCTGGCTGGTTCCTCTTCCTGGCATTCTTTAAAGTTGAGTTTGGTTCCGCGTTTTCTGCTAATCGTTGTACCTTCTTTAGCTTTGCTACTTATAGGGGTTGCCTTGGCTTTATCCTTAGCTTGAGACAGGGGTGTAAGGCTTAGGCTGCACTCCAAATCCTCACCAGAGCCTTCATCACCACTCGCATCACCCCCTTCCTCAGCCTGCAGCATCATAGTTATCTTCTGGCGTTTGATCTTGATGGGGCTGTCTATGTCATCAGAATTTTTCGTTGGTTCCTCACGCTGCCGCAGAAGTTCCTTTGCCTTCAGCCAGATCTTGGCTTCTTTCCAGGTAGGTGCAGGCTGCGCAGGCTCGATCTCTACCCTTTGCTTGGTGCTAAAGTACTCCCGCATCTTTTGTTCACCCCGATGTCGCTGCAACATCGCTGGGCCACCGATCGCTACTAGTTGCTGTCGCCGCCACTTGTTTAACCCCCGATCATTGCCCAGGACACTTTGAAAGGGCTCGCAGTCATTTAGCTTGTTCCCAGGGATGTGTAGCACGAGAAAGCCCACCTCCGTTACCTTGCTCACATCGGAGGGATTGCTGTAGAAAGGCTGCTGGAACTCGTATTCGGGTATGTCCATCTTTTTGCAACCGCGAACGACTTCATCGTAAGAAGGAGGCACCTCCAAAGGAGTAATCACAAGGGAGTTGTCATTGGAGCGGTCAGGAGCAGGCTGTGGAGAGTCCATAGACATCATGGGACTATCTAACATGTCACTAAAGACCGACGGACTGTTGACAATTAGCGAATGTTCATAGAAACTTCTCATGAGCTCTGGTGTGCGGCTTTCATTGCTTTTGGGACTCAACTGTGGAGTTGTCGGAATCTCAAGAGGTGATTTGCTTGAGATGGGAGTTAGCTGCTTGGTAGGCAATTCCGAACGAAAGCTTCTTCGCAAACGCCTCAAGTTGGGTGTTTTACGAAGTTTGGTGGGTAGGTTGTCGGTCTCTGTGTCGGATTCAATTACCTCATCCTCGCTAACAGCGAACGGACCATTCTCACTAGGACTTTCTAGCTCTCCAGAAGGGTCAATTGATGGTTCCCCTTTTAGTAGTTCATGTAACTTTTCGGCAGCCTGATTAGTAGTTTCTGGTTTTGCAATAATATTAATTTCCTCTTCATTTTTGGTCGAACCTGTATTATGGGGTATATTCGGTTCAATAATAACATTTTCCTTTTGCTTAGGGGCGCCTTTTGATTCCGTTGCGTCAGTTTTTTTCTCAGCTCTTACAGTTTCAGTCTTTTCAAATTCAGGACTTTCTGATAAGTTGTGATTACTTTCGAGAACAGTTTTCCTTGAAATTTTATCTTGACTAGAAGGGCTTGCTTTTGGCTTTGGTCTTTCTATTTCAGTAAAATACTCATCAGGATTATTCATATTCTGTTTATGGCGGGCGCTGCGACGTGGTTTCACTTCATCCGAATTGCCTTTTGACGTGGTGGTTTTGCGCGGTTTTTTCTTTGGCTCCACACAGTCATCCATGGTTGCATTATCCTTTGGTTGGTGACGAGTACTTCTTCGCGGCTTCTTTGGCCCTTCCTCAGACTGTATTTGCTCGCCATCTGCTGTTTCAAATATGTCGGATAGCACGGGATTCTTATTTCGTGGCGTCAGAGAGCAGGTAATGTGTGTCTTGTCCAGGTTGCGCGTAGATCGCCTGTTATTCCTCTGCGGTGTAATACTATCAGAAAACAAGGTTTATAAAATCTTAAATGTATAATATACAATTTAAATAACCCTACACGTTCTTCAATTCGATGAAACTATTTGATTCCTCAACACTTTTTCGCCGCAACTCCGTCATGGCTACTTTTTTGCGAAGTGAGATTTCAGGCCTAAAAACATAATTCAATTTGTGAAAACTCCCAAAATGTGAATAAAGTATCAACTCAGTAATTACCGAGAACTTCCAGGTATTTCTGATCGCGGTAGTTGGTCAAGCTGCAAACTGAGGCGGGGATTTGGTACTCTTTCTGATATTTCATCGTTGTTTTCTGCAATTGATTAAAAATCGTTAGTATCCATTATTTGTTCTACCACTTCTACCCACTCTTTGCTGAACTGCTCCCAATAGTCAAGGCCAGTGGCGCATATTTTTTAGCCGCACTGGTTTTCGGAGTGCGAGGTGTCTTTAACAGACTTGTCTGGCGTTTTGGAGTTGTAGGTGTCTTTGGCGGACTCGCCTTTGGCTTGGGGCTGCACAACTTTTTGGGTGTCCGATGTAAGTGATCATCAGCACCATCGACTTGTGGAAGTTTAGTTTTTACATTTTTTGATTCCTCCGGCTTAGGCTGACTTTGAGTTAGTTTAAGTAGCAGCTCATCGACATCATCAAGCACGGTGGAAAAATCATGCCGGTTTTCCTGGTCTCCTTCTTCGTCAGAATCCCCGTCTTCGTCGAATAAAGGATGCGTGCCTACTGCAGCAGCTGCTGTCTCTTTGTCCAACAGCTCAGGTGTCAATGCGACTAAAAGTACACCAGGATATAATCTTATCTTAAGATTCAGTAGTACCTACAATTTTTGTGCTGCTGCGATAAAGGTGCCAATGAGCTATCCAAATCTACATGGGATTCGCTTTCATTCTGCTCCTCCAACAGCTGCAACGCATCCAAAAGTTCCAAATCTTCCTCTCTCACTGCGGCAAAAAAGAATTGTTACATGTGCAAAAAGAGAGTTTTGTTTTCGGCAATCGTTTACCCACAGGTGGCATCATGGGGCATCGCTCCATGTGGCTGTGTGAGACTCAGGATTAGGTCCTCATCCACTAAAGTTCCATCCATGTATTCAGATTCATCTTTTGGCACTTGTAGGCTATCATTGCTCCCGTTGCTGCAGGTTACATGGTTTTGTATAAAGGAAGCATTTACCAGCAGTTGCTGCTGATCCTGAGAACATTCCTCGGGATAAACGGCGTTGGCTAGAAGCTTTTGTAAATTAAAAGTTCGCTTTTGCTCTCTACTGCCGGGCAAAGTGGTCTGCATAGTGGCATTAGCAAGGGTAGTCTGATCAGAAAATGTTTGCTCGGATATTGTAGACTGCTCTAGTGTCATCAACTTGCTTTCGAGAGCGGTTCGGTAGAAAATATCGCTTTCTGCAATTTCTATTTGGGGACGTTCTTGTGTTGGCGGCAATTCCAAAACTGGTACCTATAATTAATAAAAAGCTTTAGGTTTCTATCAACAAAGCAGGAATTAAGGAAGTACCCCTTGGATTCTCTCCTCATTGCCAGTAGCAGTGTGCTTTTCGACCAATTTCTGGCGGCGCACTTTTTCATCATTCCAGATAGCCTCGATGCCCGGATTGGTGTGGTTGCCCTTACTCTTAGCCACCAGCTGGAAACGATTCAGTATGAAGTTGGAGCTCACATCCAGCTCTAAGGCACTGCAGGCCACTTTCTTCACGCTTATGGTATCCAGCATCTGGGTGGGCTTGACATTTGGATAGGGGATCACTAATATGTAAGGTAATGTAAATACATAGGTGGTAAAGAGGTCGTGCAGTCAACTTGCCCTCGTCCTCGTGACTACGACGGAACTTAAGCACCTCCAGTGGGACGTGCACATAGCTCATCCCGTACAGATTGTAGTCTATCATGAACTGGAGGATGTACGGCACATGAGACTCGTGCGGACTGAAGTTCTTGCTTAGAATGGCGCCGCTCTGGAGAAGATTGGCGGCTCGACGCACGAATCGGGGATTGAACATGTAGATCTTGAGGTACTGGTGTTCAACACGATGATAGCCGTAAAAGGGGCTAAAATAAGGACTCAGAGACTAGAGATTTACATGAAGCGGAGGACATTAAAAAACTCACATGCCCTTAACCAGTTGGATTTTGAACACATGCTGGGAGTCTGAACTGCCCTGGCCCAGGGATATATTGATAGCCTTATCCAGGTGCAACGCTATTTGCAGAATTCCCCGTTCAAGGGATTCAAAATCCTTCTTGTCGTACGGAATGTAGAAATAGGGAAACACTCCGTGGACATGCATGCAGGTCTTCTGGCCACAAGAGTTGCCACCGAAAACTCGAATCACAGGAACCTGTTAAGGAAGGGTATAGTTATCCCAGTTTTCCGTCTATGGTGAAATAGGATGGACTCACCCGCTTGATCTCTTTGCCGCGCAGCTCCGAATAACAGGGATCCAAGCCGAACTGCGGCTTCTCCATGTAGAAATCAGCGATTACCAAGCGGACTGAGTAGACGCCATCGATTCCCTCTGCCGCAGCTGTCATTTCGTCAGGACATGGATTTAAATATTTTCGCGGAGGATTAGATTCGATTCAAATCAGAGTGGCCGTAATATTTCACATATATTCGATTAATAAATCGATACATTGATATAAAACTATCAAATTCAAATTAGATCACACAATTCGTACTTCATGATGATTTTAATGACAAACTAAGTAAAATTTAAAAAATTACAGTTATTTATTTATATTTATTTTTAATATATAATAATAACAAATTCCCTTGTTAATGAGAAATATGAAATAAAAAAAATTTTAGACAAAATAACAAACAAGAACTAAAGTATACTAAGAGCCCATTGTATAAATTAAAATATAAAATTATACGTTATTTTTTGGTCATGCACTGAAAAAAAACATGTTAATTAATAAAAGTTTTTTTTTTTTTAAATAAAAAAGAACACTAAATCAAGTGCACCTTTCTTACAAATCGCTATTACAAATATGTATATTCCTTTTTTTAGCAAGTGCTTACCTTGTTATCTTTTCAAATTCCGATTTAAATCGATGTTTCTTAGACGACATATTAATATTACTGAAGTGTGACCTTCGCAGCTCGAGTGCAAAATACTGGTATATGTATACTCACCCCCACTCATACTTTGCGAAAAAAGCTCCAGAAAAAGTGGCAGTCGTAATAGCGAGCTGAAACTGAACGAGAGGAAAAGTGAAAAGAAGGCAGATTTTTAACCATGTCGAAGATCGGAATTAACGGATTTGGCCGTATCGGCCGTCTGGTGCTGCGCGCCGCCATTGATAAGGGTGCCTCCGTGGTGGCTGTCAACGATCCCTTCATCGATGTCAACTACATGGTCTATCTGTTCAAATTCGACTCGACTCACGGTCGTTTCAAGGGCACCGTTGCGGCTGAGGGCGGTTTCTTGGTGGTGAACGGCCAGAAGATTACCGTTTTCAGCGAACGCGACCCCGCCAACATCAACTGGGCTAGCGCTGGAGCCGAATATGTCGTGGAGTCGACTGGTGTCTTCACCACCATTGACAAGGCCTCCACCCACTTGAAGGGCGGTGCCAAGAAGGTCATCATCTCGGCCCCATCCGCCGATGCCCCAATGTTCGTTTGCGGTGTCAATCTGGAGGCCTACAGCCCCGACATGAAGGTGGTCTCCAACGCCTCCTGCACCACCAACTGCCTGGCTCCCTTGGCCAAGGTCATCAATGACAACTTCGAGATCGTCGAGGGTCTGATGACCACCGTGCACGCCACCACTGCCACCCAGAAGACCGTTGACGGACCTTCCGGCAAACTGTGGCGCGATGGACGTGGTGCCGCCCAGAACATCATCCCGGCCTCCACTGGTGCCGCCAAGGCTGTTGGCAAGGTCATCCCTGCCCTCAACGGCAAACTGACCGGCATGGCTTTCCGTGTCCCCACTCCCAATGTCTCCGTTGTGGATCTTACTGTCCGCCTGGGCAAGGGAGCTACCTACGATGAAATCAAGGCTAAGGTTGAGGAGGCCTCCAAGGGACCCCTGAAGGGAATCTTGGGCTACACCGACGAGGAGGTCGTCTCCACCGACTTCCTTAGCGACACCCACTCCTCTGTGTTCGACGCCAAGGCTGGCATTTCTCTGAACGACAAGTTCGTCAAGCTTATCTCGTGGTACGACAACGAGTTCGGTTACTCCAACCGTGTCATCGATCTGATCAAGTACATGCAGAGCAAGGACTAAATGCCGTAATCGTACAAAACCTGGGGCCCACAAGTTGGTCAGGAATCACTGTTGTATAACCTAGAAGGCGCCCCGCTAGTTCAGCACTATGCGCAATTGAAAATGCTTTTTTTTTGGTTGGCTCTTAAAGTTACCATTCAAATACAAATATCCATAACTACGCATATATCTATTTATTGTTGTTGAATAAAGTATCGCTCTGTTACTGTATTTGAACGCCAGCTATTTAAAAAAAAAATAAACTTTTGTGCATTGATAAATTTTGCTTGTGTAAGCCCAAGGTCGTGGGAAGGTTATATCAGGGCATCGCCGGGAAGACATGCTGAGATATACATAAATAGGTATACATATATATGTTTCGAGAGGGAGGGGGGCCACCCCAAACTCAAAGAGGCGACGAGGTTTCTATTTATGTTGCGAACTCTGGGATTCGGAAATTCTTAGATTATGTAAATTCTCTTATCGCTGCACTTTGGAACACGTACGGAGGCTGTTTGTATTGTCTTCGATTTACCGGCAAAGAAGCATTAAAGCTTTTAATTTATTGCCGAATGTTTTCATATTTACATTTTTATTTTTTGATAGAAAGAGAGGGGGGGGGTTGGGGTGAGTTTGTAGATATTGCATTTAAATACTTGGATGTTTTGGTATACTCAAGGTCATGGAAGGTCAAATACGGCTTGGTACACAAAATCTCGAAGGTAAAAACTCAATTCGATTAATATCAACCAGGGCTGCAAAGAGCGGGTAATTTGAAAAGCTAATCATAGGAAAAGTTGGAAAACACAAAGTCTTAAACAATATTTTTTTAAAAAATGTCAACTCTTTTTTAAATATGGTTTTTGTTTTAAATCTAGAAAATCACAATATTTGTTTCTATAAATTTCAGTTTAAAATCCGATCATGACTTTTTCGCTGTAAATAAAAGCAATTTTAGTTGTATAATTTAATCTCGGAATGTCAAATTTATCTTTAAATTGTTTTTCATTATTTTTTTAACAGAGGAAGAAAAACGTTGTCTATGAAGCATATATGTATAAAAATATCTGCTCAATCTTATCATAATATGTAAGTTATAGGAGTAGTAATTTTTATTCGGTGACGTTTAAAAAACACATATATATGTATAAAAAAATACCTGCTACTTATCATCTGCGTCACCATAATCAGAGCGACTGAGTAAGCCATTGACTAATCATTGCGGCACAAAAAATATACTTTTTCTATATTTTCTCAAAGGATTTACCAGCATCCATTATTAATGTTGGTTTTTAGTACTTCTCAAGCTATAGAACTGTAGTAAATAATTTCCAATCTCTAGTCCAGTTTAAAAAGTTTGTTTAAATAGTTTGGCGTATCTTGGACAAATAGTCGCTGTCTGCTTAGCTGTTAAAACACATTATATTTTTTTTTAATGAATATTAAATCTAATTTATTAGTAAATTTTTAATTGTCTGTTTTAGATATTTCAAAAATGTTTGATTTGCTAATAGCATATCAATTAGCCTCATCTCCATGCTAAACGTTTAGACCGTATAGATTTCAAGATCTCAATCTCATACGAGCATATGTAGATCAAATTTTCTAGTGTTCAGATACGCTTCTTACTAGACGTTTATACTCTTAAGCGATTCCAATATGCCTACGAAAAAGGGTATAAATATCTACTGACTAAATAAAAGATCAGATGATTGCAGGCTGCGTCCAAATAATGATTAAAAAGCTTTTATTTACCGCGTATCTTATCTGCAAACTGTGTTCTACAATTACACTTTTTTCCCTTTTCTATAATTTTTCTACAATTCTATTTTTCTGGCCTAAATATGGTTAATGAAATTCTTGGCAGACAAATTAGTATATGCTGGCGGCTCGTCCTTGCGCATCCTTTCGAAGGCCTTTTGCACCGAGAACAAAGCGCAGGCAAGATACACTGAAAATGTTGGGATTCCTTGTTGAAAAGGTTAGTCAAGGTGTCTAAAATCCTTACCTGAAAACGGAAGCGTCATTGCTGGAACGAAAACCCATTCCCCATACCCGGTTAGTAAGGCAATGGCCAAATAAACCATTAGATATATGAAGAATCCTGTGGTTATCATCCACGGCACGAAGAACTTGTATTTTTGCTTTGTTTCATTGATAGATAATTCAGCTTTATAAGAGATAATTCGGGCAAATAATTTTTATTTTACCTTCAACGCTCCAAAAATAAGGCCCAAACTGGCTAATATTTGCAAAGCAGAAATGTGTATTCCTAATTCGGTACCATCTAAAACAAATCACGAATTTCATCAAAAGGTTATTTCGAAATGTGTTTAAACTGGTTCATTCGTACATCTCCAGAAGTAGTCATCCATAAGGGCCAAATAGGTTATGGCAAAGGCTATGGACAAGCATCCCGAGCAGATGATTCCATATTTGGTCTCCAGTTTCAACATGTTGCCAAGTCTGTGGAGAACTTAACAGTTTGAGGATTATTTCACAACTGAGTTGGGAGTACTCATGGCAAGCTTTGTCGCAGACCTTATCTTATCTCAGTATCGCTCTCCCATCACGAAATTGGAAAACCTTTGTTCGTTTGTGTATAATTATAATTTTATTGAAGGATTTGCTTTTTATTGCTTCGACTGGCCAGCAAACTGAGCCATCCCAGGCGAACCTATCGATGGGGTCCCAGCTTGTTGGCCACCATTTCGACCATCTTACAATGAGTTTCGATCTCGAGTCGATTATTTTGAATAATGCAATGAAAATTGATTAGCTAACAAATTGAGTGGCGAGTGTGCAAAAATTTGTTAATTGTAAAATTTGTAACATGCATTCTTATTGTTTGGTTTTACTTGCATTTTTAACTAGTATAATTAGTATAAAAAAATGTTACTGCAACAGCATGGCATTGCTTCATATGTATTGATGTATAATTATTCGATTTTCAGTTAACTCGCTTGATAATCCGTAAAATGTAGCATATTCTTTTTTTTTTAGATAATTTCCGAGGCGTAATTCTGCGCGAGAATCAGTTAATTTGAGTTAAGTGGCGTTAGATTGGTTAAGGTAAGGAGGTAAGAAACTTGGCAAACTTCGCCATTCCCCTGGTGTTCTCTCAAGTTAGTCAAGATATATAAAAATACGTAGATTATAACATTCGATTAGTACAAGTAGGTATGTATAAATATATAAAAAGTACACAACGTGTAAATTAGACTAAGTCAATAGAGGAGAGCTCCTTCGGGCAGGTTGCTTAGCTGCCCCTCGTGCTTGTGACCTTTTTTCTCATCATATTTCGATTTGTTGCTTTTCGTTTTCATTTTCATTTTCATTTTTTGTTTTGTTTTGTTTTTTGTTTTTGGCAAAATCACAGGAGAATTAGAAATAATTAACGTAAGCTATGACACATTAATATGTGATAGAGTGAAAGTGGAAAACTCTCAATTGCCGAAATTCGATTCGAAAGAGCATTGGTTCAACTTGGTTTGCTTTATTTGCCCTCACTTGCGTGGAGTGGGTTTCAGTTTTAGTTTAGTTTTGCTTTTAGGGTTTTTGAATTCTTTAAATGTATATTTGTATAATAAATTATGACTATATATGCATGTATATATAAGTATATAGATGTATATATTTATATAAGAAGTAAGTAGGAGGCGCATTATTCATTCCACTTTTCAACTTAGGATAACAACACTGTTTTCACGATTTTCATCTCGCTCCCCAAGCGTTCGATCGCCTTACTGACTGACTGACTGAACTGGCTTGCTAACGGCTTATAACAATATTCAACTAGAGAATCGCTGATCAAAAATAATAACCATAATAATAGTGTGGTGTTGGTGACAATCAAAGGATGCCGACGCATATACAAAAGAATAAATAAAATCGCGTATAAAAAGGATCTGCGGTAAACCTATTTTAAACGTCGACGACCATCTTCTTGTGAATGTCCGTGTTGCCGACCACCGAGCAGAACTCATCAAACGAGATCTTTCCATCCTCATCCCTGTCCGCGAAACCGATCGTCTTGTCCACAATCTGCTGCAATTGCGTGTCCTTCAGATTGTTTCCCACCATCATCTTTAACACCTGAAAGTATAATATTTTTATAGACGATAATCTTGACTTGAATTTCGAGGGACTTACCTGAAACAGTTCCCCGTTGGAAATGTAGCCATCATTGTCCATGTCGTAGATGCGGAAGGCGAAGCGCAGCTTCGACAGCTTGTCGCCCTTGACACTGAACTGTGACACGCCCTGGATAAACTCCTTGAAGTCCACCTCGCCGTTGCCGTCAGCATCGAAAATGTCGATCACGCGCTGTACGAGCGGATTCTGTTGCAATTCCGGCAGCGACATGAACTCGTCCACGCTCAGCGCACCCGAGTTGTCCAGATCCAATTTCCGGAAGCGTTTGCCCAACCGCCGGATCTCATCGGCGTCGACTATGCAGAGGCGGAAAACGAGGGGAAAGGTTTGGTAACATATGTGAAATATTTTACTGTGCAATTTGTGTACTTAGAATTTGCATTATTGAAATAACGAATACAGTGGATATTCTATAACGAAAAACTCGCTTGATTCTTTTAGGATATTGGATTTTTAGGATATACTAAAGTTTATTTTATAATAATAAACTTCATTTGCGCGGTTATTTATTAATATTTGTGTAATTTTTTTTTTTTAACATATTTCAATCTAAAGGTTTTAAAGTTCTTCGTCAGTTTGACGTTTTTATTATTACAAATTAGACACTGTTTAAGTTGTAATGAAATCAAGTTTAGATGTTGTTTTTAAGATATACTGACTGTTGATGTAATTTTTAATAAAACATATCATCACACAAAAGGTAATAAACACTAATTTTGTAAATGTCAACGACTATAGGGAACGCATTAGATGTAAAGAATAGATTGCTAGATTCTAGTTACGATTGTAGGACTGTATTTTATTTTTAGAGACCGGTTGTCTGTCGATCATCAGAGATGAAACAAAGTGTGACAAAAACACATTCTAGAATGCCAATTTTGAAATTAGAAGAGAAGGTGTAAAATCTCTTGATGATGCGGAATAAAGAGTTGGGAATTATAAATGGAATTTCGACGCCACGTTTCGTTTGCATTCCACTTTCTGTTGGCCATTCGCGTTTCTATCTACATACATATGTACATATCTATATACATATGTACGTACATGCATACCGTATCTAAATGAACGCTTGTGTATGCCGATGTTTGCATATTCATAAACAGCTGCCATTCCGTTCAAATGACATTGACTGAACAATTTCGTACTTACAATTGGAACACATTTCCATGGGCAGTGATGTTTCATTTCCCTGCAAGCCAAAAATGTATATATTAATTGCGAAATTTTAATATATTGCAGCAGCAAACGGAAGGTTCCGGAAAAAGGGGAGAGGAGAGGTGAAGAACGTAAATTGACATTATAACGGCACAAACTCTCACTCCTATTTCCGCGCTCTCACAATCTCCTCCTGCCCTTCTTCCTCACCCCCCTCTTTTGCACTTGTTCTTCGCATATTTTGGTGGCATTTTATTACCATTTTGGTTTTGCCTTTTGTGGTTCTCCTTGGATGCTATCTATAGAGTACAAATAAAGTTGCCTTTTTCCGTCGCTCTTTTCTCGATTTTCCTTTGGTTTCGTTTAATATCCAATGCCTTAGGCTATTCTGCACATGCTACTGGGGTTTCTGGGGCTCTGAATAACGGTTTTGTTGTGGAAATTTTCGGTTTTCTATTTTCTATTGTGCATGAGTTTTTCCACAGCAGCTTTTAGTGTGACCACTGTTCGAGCGTCAAAAAACACCATGAAGACCAAGAATAAATACCAAAAAGCTTAGCGTTGGCAACGCGTTGACAGGGCTGCCAAATTATATGCAATTAAATATATATATATTCTTTAAATTAAGCGCGCCATTTCTAAAATAGCTATAAAAACACTGTAATAAGGTTGAACTTTTAAATTAGGAAGATGAATATTTATTTGAATTATCTTTTATATCAATAATAACCATATTACATATATAATACAATGAAATAAACCAACAGAGACTATCTTTTCAGTTTGAGTTCAAGAAAAAAGGGCATTCATTTTAACTTCTCTTCTTATTTCAAATAATCTCTTGTAAGTGTTATGTTTAGTTCTTTTCAGTTAGATTTGCTTCTTTGTCATCGCATACATATAGACCCCCTGCGGTCAAACAATCTTCGTGAAGTTCATCTTATCGTGACCTTTTTTGTAACTCTGATACACTGTAATTCAGAACTATACCTACATATAATAACACTATCTTGTAATAGATTTACAAAGAAAAAATTCTACACTTTTAAGACTCAAACTAATTTATCTTTTGCTATTGCTTTTTTCCAGTTGCCCTTGAACCCTCTTAAATTTTGCCCAACATGATAGCCCTAGACAACAATTTCTAGCTACGCCTCTGCATTTATTTGGCTTCCCGCAGCAACATAAAACAAGCACAGATAGCATTTACTGCCCATCTGACATAATCTTTGGGTTTAGCATTTCCCCAGCCAGTTGACTGGCTTCTGCCTCATTTCCATCTTCATTTCACTGGTAACTTCCCATCCGATCGGTCATGAGTCAAGGAATCATCAGTCAGGAGGTAAACGGTCGCCAGGAGCCGTCGGGAACTTCTGGAGAGGAGGGCTTGCGGCGCAGGGTGGCAATTGTCGGAGCAGGTCTGGTAAGTGTTGTGTAGAATATGGTTTTAATATTTTAAATATTTTGAGATGTAAACTGATTAATTATAAAAATTAAAAAAATCCACTAAAACATTCTTTGAAAATCAAAATCATCCCAATACATTTTGGAATACTCAACTTTCACTTGATATGCTGTTGGATTTTCATAGATCTGCATAACTATTTGCTGGCTTATCTTTAAGGTTTCTTAATCCCTGCCTCCAGATATAACTCCCTTATCACTCCTTCTACGTCTATTTCTTCATAAGGTTGGCTCTCTGGCGGCCTTGAACTTTGCCCGCATGGGCAACCGCGTGGATTTGTACGAGTACCGAGAGGATATCCGTCAGGCTCTGGTGGTTCAGGGCAGGAGCATCAACTTGGCTCTTTCCCAGCGGGGTCGAAAGGCTCTGGCCGCTGTGGGTCTGGAGCAAAAGGTGCTGGCCACCGCGATACCCATGAGGGGACGAATGCTGCACGATGTCAGAGGAAACACCAGTGTGGTCCTCTACGATCCGACGACAAATCAGTGTCTTTACTCCGTGGGTCGCCGGCAGCTCAACGAAGTCCTTCTGGACGCTTGTGATAAGCTGCCCAATATCCGCTGCCACTTCGAGCACAAATTAACGAGCGCCAATCTGAAAGAGGGTTCCATGGAGTTCCGGAGACCCGGGGTCGAGGAAGCTATAGCTGCCAATGCTGATCTTATAGTGGGCTGTGATGGCGCCTTCAGTAGTGTTCGCCAGCAATTAGTTCGCCTGCCGGGGTTCAACTATTCCCAGGAGTATATTGAAACGGGTTACCTGGAGCTTTGTATACCCTCGAAAGCGGGCGATTTCCAGATGCCTGCCAATTACCTGCACATCTGGCCGCGAATCTCCTTCATGATGATTGCCCTGCCCAATCAGGATAAGTCCTTTACGGTCACCCTCTCCATGCCCTTTGAGGTCTTTGCCCAAATTCAGAATCAAAACGATCTACTGGATTTCTTTAAACTGAACTTCCAGGATGCACTGCCTCTCATTGGAGAGCAACAGCTCATCAAGGACTTCTTCAAGACCAGGCCCCAGCATTTGGTGTCCATCAAGTGCAGACCCTACCACTATGCGGATAAGGCCCTGATTCTGGGCGATGCCGCCCATGCCATGGTACCGTATTATGGCCAGGGAATGAATGCCGGAATGGAGGATGTCACTCTGCTCACCGGAATTCTGGCCCAGCAGTTGCCTCTGGACGAGGCTTTGGCCGAGTTTACCGAATCTCGCTGGCGGGATGCATTTGCCATTTGCGATCTGGCCATGTACAACTATTTGGAGGTGGGCTTTGGAATAAGAATTTAATCTACAATAATTTCCCTAACTTTTCCCTTACAGATGCGCGATCTGACCAAACGCTGGTCCTTCCGCTTCCGAAAATGGCTGGACACCTTGCTGTTCCGTTTATTTCCCGGCTGGATTCCCCTCTACAATAGTGTCTCTTTTTCTAGTATGCCTTATAGCCAATGCATTGCCAATAGAAAGTGGCAAGATCAGCTGCTGAAGCGTGTTTACGGTGTCACATTATTTTCTCTCCTCATGGGCGGAAGTGCTGTATATGCAAAGCGTTTTTTTTAAACAAGTTCAAAAGTCTTTAATTTAAAGATTTAATTTTATACATTATAAATTTTGCATCAATAAATAACATAAATTTAAACGTTCTAACAAATTTAGACTTCTGTAGAACAAATGAGCAATGTGTGGATACAATTGTTGCTATGGGAAATGTTGCTATACAAGTGTTGCCAATAAAATGTTGCTGGCAGCACAAATTTGTAAACATGTATACCATACATATATTTACACCCACATTTTTCGTGTCTATAAATTGCTAGATCTTTCTAATTAAAAAAAACTTCGCGAACTTGATGAGGAAACTTTTAAATATATTATTGGAATTTAGATAATCCACTAATTTATATATAGTTGTTACTTTCCTTGTGAAAGTGTTTAGTATTTTATATTTTGGGCATTAAAATCAGATATGAATCTTAAAATCTTGTCTATTTAAAAGCTGAAAAAAGCTCTCGTGGGTTTCCCCTTTTCGAATGGAATTTTTTCAATGGAAAAATTTGTCATTATGAGTCATTATGTACATTTTCATGTTCATTCCATTTAAGCAATATATTATATTCATCGATTTCAGACCTATCTTCTATTATTTTACAATGAATATCAGGGAGTTTAGTTCCAAAAAGAAGGTAGCTTTTATTAAATTAAAAAATAAATAACTAAAGTATAACTCTATAATTACTACAACTAAAATTTCTAAATTAAAAGGTTTAAAATAAGTTTAATATATTTTACAACTTAAAAACTAAAACAATTATTATAAATTGTTAACTGTGAGTTCACGTAGCAATTTAAAAAGCTCAAACATGCTATGGCATATGAAATTAGGGGTTTTAATTTGTTTTCCAAATTTGGCAGCATTACTAAAAAATGAGTTTAAAGTATTTTCAGATTATCAATGTTTAATTTGCTGTGGCGTTTCGTAGATGGGCGCCACCTTCAACAACAAATCACAAACAAATGAAAAACAAAAACTGTACGAAAAAAACTGATAAACTATTGTTTACTGTGGATTCACGCAGGTCTTATAAATACGTACACATGCCCGAATTCGTTTGTTGGCCAAATAATTGGGATTTCTTGTTGGCCGCGTGGCTACTACGCATCGCATTTGGTCTATGGGACTATCAACCGGTGGATGTGTGGATAATGTATTTTTGGGTTTGTTTTGTCGCTTCAGATTGTATTGAGGCGGCGACAGCCAAAAATACCGCCCTGACAATGTGATTTTAGCTATTTCAACGATTATTTCTAGTCGCAGTTTTGCAGCCTTGGTCACGTGATCGTGATCCCCGAACATCCGGCAGTTGCATTTGTTTGTGCTTTCTTGTTCTTTACTTTCTAAAGGATCAGTGGGGATATATAGCCTATATAAAGCCTATAATTCATATGCATAAATGGTAATAATCTGATGATCGTCAAGCTTTGCCAAGTGCGACAGAGAAGGGGACAGAAAGCTTTCGATTAATTAGCATTCGGTTGCCATCCCAACCCTCTCGCTCTTTTACACCCCACGCCTCTCTCCTCTTAGGGGGGTGTAGATAAAGAGAGAGCACAAGGTCGGCGCTTTCTCAATTTCAAAACGCCAACGCCGGCCGGTATTTCGTTATTACAACAATGTGATCGTATAGAGCTTTGGCTCTCTCTGACACTCTCTCTCTATCTAACAGTCTCTTCTTGCCTACCTCCCCTTTTTGCTTGTCCTCTTTCTTGAACACAGATTATAAATCAATTAAAAACTAGGCTTAAAAAGTGAAAATCTTAAAAACAATAGCTTCAAGGCATTTCTTGACCTACTACCCAAAAGCTGTCGAGCATTTTGGCAGAAAGCTTTGGTCTAGCGAAGGTGTTAGGAAATGTTAGCAGCGAAAGAGAGGGGAGGAGACATAAGATAGCAATAGAGAGAGAGAGAGTGAGAGAGAGGAGGAGAAACAACTGCTCATTTCCGACTTAATTGTTGTTGCTAATTCCGTTTCGCGAACTTTTTGTTGGCACTCTCTAGAATCGTCGGCGCCTCCGCTTTGCTCCCACTAAAGACAGTGGAGCTTCGACGAAAAACTTAATGAAAACGTTATTCGGTGAGTGATGCCAATAAATCTCTATTTGTCAAACTTGTTTAAACAAATAATTTCTCATATTTATTGTTTTGCGTTCTTAATTACATAACCAAGAAAATTAGAAATTTGTGGAGAGACAAGAGGCTTTTACACAAAATAGAAAATAATAAAAAAAAAGATATAAGAAGAATATTGGAAAAAACAACTTGTTGTCTTATATGGTGAGTAAGGTTAGTAATAACCTTTTGAGATCATTCCTTTTGATTTTAAAATCTGTGCTTAAAGAAAGTTTAACAAAACCTTTGATTGGCTAACGGTAAAATTGTTCAACATAGGTAGGCTCTACTATAGCCACCATACCGCTGCCGCCGTCGCTGGTCTTCGCTTGGCCGGCAGAGCACCGGAACGGGCCAGCGCCATCAGTTGCTCGTCACATGTTCGACACTCAAGTAGACCAAGAGCCCAGGGAGCAGTACAGTGCCAAACTAAATCCGATCGAACGCTGAGCAACCGTTAGACGACAGACTATCGAATATAGCAACTCACTAACAGTTAGACTGACAGACAATTCTTTACCCACCCAATCGATTATAGCACTGTATAGCCAGGTGCAAGTGCAACTTTTATCAGCCCTTTTTGCTGTCAACTCAAATCAAATTGAAAACCACATTCTCGAAGCTTTTCGGCAAGCTTCCGCCAACCGATCGAAACGCGTGGTCTGAAAAAAGAAAAAAAACGAAGAAAATAAAGCAAAAAGCAAGCGAAGAAAGTGAAATTGAAATTAAAAATCAAAAATCGAAAAGTTGGGAGTTAAGTGAGCGAACGCGTGTGTTTGTGTTAGTGAGTGTTTCTCAGTGTGTGCTTGTGTGTGTGTCTAGTGCAACGGTATATTAAAAAAAATTCACCAAAACTAACGGTAGCCGAGCAATTAAAGGGTTACTTGTCAGAATTCAAGCAAAAATAAAAACGAAAGTTTTGGCTTGTTACTTTGCCGTAATAATCCAAAATCAAAATCAAACCCAAATACCGAAATATACCGATCGCCATCCTGGCCCGCCCGTTGTTTTTAGTGTGAGGGCGCTCTGCCAGCGGTTCGCCGGAACGTCAAACTCCACCCACACCCTGCTGCCCGTCGTCGATAGCATACCGATATCAATAGCCGATAGACAAAACATCGATACCCCGATAAAAATAGACCGCGATAGCAGCTTGCTGTATTTAACTTTTTGATTAAAAATTCAGCATTCAGTGTGATCTACTGTACAAAAAAAAAGTTTAAACCAATATAAATTCTGTTCGGTTTTAATCCTTAAAAAAAGAAAAAACCAGCGGCATCTATCCTAACGATAGACGTACTCCGTGGATTTTGGATAATGAGCGACTAGGCACGAGCTGTCCGAATTGTTCAGGTAAATATATGGACACACACACAATCACCGTTATTGATCTCGCCCAATTAGTGGGGCTACGTGACTGCAGCACGGGGTATCCGCAGATCACAGTTCGCAGATCGCAGATCGCGACTCGCAACTCGCAGATAGCATCGTGTCGCATGGTTTTGTGTTCTGCCTATAATGAAAAGCAAACCAGAAATGCGGATAACAATCTAGGCACACACCTACCCACCACCCATCCCCCTTTTTGTTCTCGGGTCGTCTTGGCATCTGGCATTTCCGGTTTAGCTATTTTTTGGCGGTGTACAGATATGTAGATGAAAACACCTTCAGATATTATTCAACCCAAGATCCTCTTTAAGTGTTTTTATTTTCTATACGCAAACATTTTTGATTTTGAACTACAAATCTCAAATTAAATTTACTGATTTACGAAAATGAAAGGCGATTATTTTTTTTTTTGTTAAATATTGTACTTAAGTAAATATTTGATCAACTTTTAGTTTTTAGCACGTTTTTTTTTCAAGATTGTAAAATATTTAAATCAATAATAAAACAATTTAACGCACGCGGGAATACCCAAATTATTTTAGTATTCATTCTACACCTAAACTAATACGTTTGCTCGTTAAGAATAATTATCGCCGTTCTTACATTCATCCATCATTTTTGGGTTCAAGATCGGTTACTGTTCGACAATTCTGGAAAAGCAATTAACTCATTTGGGATCAGTTTTGAATTTCTCCTATTTAAGCGATTGAATCATACAGACAGATAAACAATAAATAAAAATTGTTTGATTTCGTATGGGGTTTACTTTGTACTCTTGCATTGAAGTACCTTTGCTTCTGCTTATATACATTTGTACATATCCATACATAAATATTGAAGATTTAATAAGATTATGAATGTTTCTTCAATGGTATAACTGGTCATCTTTAAATGTTAATTTTTGTATTGTGGGGTCGCCTTATCTTAAAAAGATTAAATTGATTTTAATTTGTTTTACTTACAAGTAAGGGTATATAAACTCCGACTTACCGAAACTAATGAATTTTTAATTTCTTTCTGACGTTATATCGAACGCAGTGTGTTGAGTGCAGCAATAAAGAGTTTAATGAGGGAATTCAACAGAGGCAGTTTTAGGGGAGTCAATAATATGGAAATAATATTGATCTTATAGTCAGTTTACTGATCACACATTTACTCGTTATTCCGATGAGGCGGTTAAGGGATCAGAAAAGCAAGGGAAGGGAAAATAAAATAAAGCATTCCGATACGAAAACTTACATCATCGTGTTGGGGGATAGAAAGAGATGGAGGGAAAGAAAGAGGGAGAACGCGCCCGCCAAATGGCATTTACATATACACTATCATACATACCATACATACATACATGCACAGAAACATACATGAGTTAGTTTTCGGCGATTTTTTTTGCTTTTTGGGATAGACGCAAAAAATAAGTAATACGTATTGCGCGTTTGAAAATGCCTTGGGGACTTTTTATACTTCTAGCTCCTTTAGAAACCAGCAACCGTTAATCGAGGCAAAAAAAAAAACATGTGATAAAAACCAAGCACAGAGGGAGGGTGAAATAATCGGGGAATATGCGTTGACAAGTCATTTGTTGGCAGCTTTATAAAAATAAATCAACGGCATTTAGAACACATAAACAAAAGTCCCTAACGGAATGGCGAAAACAATTGTTCGACAAAGCAAATAACCAATAACTAATTTTGTTTCTTCTATTTTCTCCCTTGCTCTCTTTACATGATGATGCGTTCTCCGCCTCTCTCCCTTGTTTATCTTGCGGTAAATGCTATCCAAAAGGGGTAGCAAAAACGAAGAACAGCAATTTCGCCAAAAGAAAAAACGAAGACGCAGTTGAGAAAAAGTGTTAGCAAGTGAGAAACAACATTAATGAATTTCGTGATTAAAAACATTTCAAAAGGTGTACAACAAAAGCTCATTTAATATAAAAATAAGAAGAACGCAAGCGAAATATACAAAATATAAAATCGCGGCGCGCCAACAACAAAACGTGGCACAAACTAAAAACAAAAAAAAAGAAATAAAAGCTCAACGAAAACGAGAGCGAATGCCCGCGCGCGAGTGAGATAGCAGATAAGCAGAGACAGTTGTGTGAGAGAGAGTGGTAAGCGAGAGCGACAACAACAAAACACAGGCGCAAGTAGAAGCCAAAAGCCAATTGCGCACGGAACGTAGAACGAAGAAAACTAACTTACGGAACTCTAGAAGTGCAGCGCGGATAACGGTTAAAAAGTTCGAAAACAGAGAGGCAGGGAAGATGGTAAACAAGGTGAATGCCAAGAAGGCGGACAAGGACAAGGAGAGGCAGCGAGAGGGAATGTTGCCGGCGGCGGGCAACAACTGTGACAGCAGCAACAAAAGCAACATTGAAAACAGCAGTAACCTTAGCAACATAAACAACAACAAAACGAGTAATAAACCAGCAACAAACAACAAAGGTCTGAATACCAAGTCCAACAACAACAAAAAGAATGCAGGCAAAGGACAACAGCAACAACAGCAGCAGCAACGCAGCAGCAAGAAAGCCAAGCCGCAGCGGCAACAGATATTCCTGCAATCGCTGCCACGTGACAGTAGCAACTACAGAAGCAACAATTATAGGAACAACATCACCCTAACTAGCAACAGTAGCAGCAACAGCAGCAGTAGCAAAAGCAGTAACTATAGCAGCAACAGCAGCAGCAACAGCAACACATTAGACACACCGGCAACATTCGACAGTGGAGTGGGCAAAATAAATCCCGCTGAACTGCTAACGGCCGCATTGGCCGTGCCCTGTGCCAAATGCTCCAAGCCATCGATGATCTCCAGTCTGACCACCGCCACATCCTCCGTTTCTGTTTCCGCCTCATCCTCCTCCGCCTCCTCGTCGTCGTCAACCAGTTCCGGATCGGAGACCGCCAGCAATCACAGCGATCTCAACTATCCGGAACCGGTTGCCTACTCCGGCAAACAGTATCGCAAATCGAAGTCCTACATGGGTGTATCCCAGTACAACAGTTCAACAAATAGCTATCAATCGGGTCGGGCGCCCAATACCGCTGGCGGTGGTAACGGCAATCATGTGGCCTACAGACGCTCCCATAGCGATCGACGAAACTCGTTCGATCGCAGCTTCGCCGACAGGAATCGCGACTTTGTGCCCATAGTGCCGCCGCCGCGTCCCGTCTTGTCCTCATCCAACATCGCCGGAGTCATGGCCAGTTCGACCAAGCTGACGATCATAGAGCGGTTCGGCAAAGGACGTGTCGCGTATCCCATAATGCAGGTGAGTCCAGGCAATTTTACTAATATTTTAGCGGCTATTTTAGGGCTTAATTTGTTAGGAGAGATCGTTGAATTATACCAGAGTTCCTAAGGCGAGTTCTAAAATCAGAAATAACGTAAATGTGGGTCTTTCTAAAATCAGTTCTCTTAACGTATGATTCATGCGAGCAATCAGCAGATTCCTCGGAAAAACACGCCTTGAGACAGCGATGTTGCAACTATTGATTTCAGATTACAGTAGAGATAATTTCTTTGGAATTACATAGATTTTCCGTTTTCTTATAAAGGGAACTTACCAATTATGAATTAAACAAGAAATACGCCGATAAAAATGCCAGATTAAAACTTAAGGTTATTATGATGAGATTCAAGGATGCAGCTTTTTGTTTTTAGAATAGACTAATGTTGTATTTTTCAAGGTACTATTGTTTATTTTTCAATTAAGCATTAAAATCTTGATTAATGTGGTTACTTTGGCTACAGTTTTCAAGCCTTAATCTTACAAATATAACACAATTTGATTAAATAAGTTGATAAGGAAGCTAAACTATGATAAACGTTTGGAGTTAAGCTTTCATTATTTTAACATTTTGAAGTACAATATCACCTTGAATATGACTATTTAGATTAAAAGATATGTAATCGTGGAGTACTTAGTGTAACACTATAATCAAGATAATTTTGGCTTTGAGTAGTGTTCTTTTAAAAAGATTAATTTTTAAGAGAAGTTTATGGAATTTGAATTCTGTATTCAAGATTATTTTGAACAATCTTGTTTATAAAAGGTTTGTTTTTATATAGAGAAGATTCTATAATTGAATTAAATGTTACCTTGAGTAATAATAATATCAGCAAAGTTAAGAAATCAAAAACGCAGTATCGAAAGGTCCGGAAAGTGGGAAAAACTTTCGTAACTTTCCATTAGTTGAACTGTTGCCACCATTCGAGAAGTTGGCGTTCTAATCAGCTTCAGCAGCTACCAAAGGAAGCAGCCATAATTAATGGCACACAAACAAGAACTAATGATAAGGAAGAGAGCCAGAAAGGTGAGGGCGAGAAAGCGAGAGCTTACTCATCAATATATTTTTGATAAGCTGATTTCATTTCGGGAGTCGCAGAATGGAGCACAAACTACAACTACAACTTTACTGCACAACTCGAAGCATACAATCTAAGACTTCTCTTCTTCGAAATTGTTTTGCAATTTGTTATCTCTTTCCTTTGTATAATGTGCATATATTCTTTTTGTTTGTTATTTACGGTTATGCACTTGCGGCGAAATATTACGTATACGCCCTGGCTGACAGCGGGCAATTTGTCGGCACCGATTTTGTGCAATCGAGAGAGACAAATGCGATGCTAATATACGGAAATACTGATGTCTCGCCTTGAATCTCCGTCACTCTTAATAGCTGTTTATGTATACAATTATATGTATATATATATATATATATATATAGATAATCTGGCCCAACAACTCGAGATCCCAAGACAATATGGTAACCAAACCTCTGCCAGAAGTTCAAGTCTCAGGCATTTTATGCAAATTCCTCGTTGACGTCTTTGACTTTTAAGTTTGATTTTATTGTGGAAAAATATCAACCGAAAGTGGTTTGATTAGCATGTGCTGCCGCTTCACTTAGCTAGTTACTAAAACTAGTTCTAAACGAACCAAAAATCAGGAAAAAATAAAGATGCGAAAAGTGAAACTTGTTTGGGTATTGCCATAAATTGCCAAATAATAAAAAAAATATTGCCTAGGGCTAATTTAGAAAGCTCCGCCTAAAAATATAGACAAAGGGCCTCATTTACAAGACCTTCAAGATTTGAGCCAGAGTTTGAAGTTTCTCAATTACCCAGCATTTCTTGGCCAAGTTCTTTTCGTTGCGGGCCGGCGCTTTACCAACTGTTTCAACAATTTGCTTAGCCTTAGCATTGCCTTTGTTGGCCTTCAAATAGTAAAAACAAAAACTAGACGAAAACATTGAAAATTTTCAGAAAAACAATCCGAACACACATTTTCTAATGAATCATTAGAACTAGATCTCTCGCCTGCTTGTTGATGTTTACTCTTTTGGGCCCAGACATACATAAATTGGCCCCACGTGAATCTTAATGCCCAACACAGCACAGTGGGCCATGTTGTGGCATCAACTGGTGAAATTATTTTGACTTGGAAACAAATCTCTCTTCACACGTGGCCAACACTTTGCCAACGGAAGCGAGCCCACTGATTAGATAGTGTGTGGAACTGGCCATAACGAAAGCTCTATTTGGCATATATGCAATCTACCAGCAAAGGTTACTTTGTTCTCTATAACTTATGTGATATAACTGAGTGAGAAGACAATGGTCTTTATTTAATTAGGGACATTGATGAGGTGACAAAGAATCTCGATGATTGGTTACGATTTTGTATCGCCACGGCTAGAACCTATTGGGAATTATAAAGTGGATGATGAAAAGTAAAGTAGTAAATATGTAGAAATAATAAAAAAAACAAGAAAAACTGATATTTAGTATCAAACTTTTCTTGGCTTTTCAGTCAAAAAGCTATTTTTGATCTTTATCTTTATTTTTATCTTAAGAACTTTGTATTGCCTTGGCTAAAACCTGTTGGGAATTATAAAATTGATGATAAAAATGATTAAGACAGGAAAACTGACCTTTACTTTAAAAATAAAGGTTATCCACCCTTGTTTTATTGTCAGTAGAGAGTAGAAAAACAGGAACATAATCATTTTTAATACTATAGATAATGTAACAAACTTTTCTTAGATGACAGTTAACGTTACTTTATTTAAAGTAAAAGTGTTGCAGTTAATGTTGGGATAAAGTTCTCTGCTAGGTTAAGATGCCAATATGATAATGTTATCACACAATAGCAATTATCACCTCGAGATATCAGCTAAGACCACTTATCGCAGGAAGTTTGAAACAGAAGACAGTTGCCTATCAAAGATTATGATAAAGTAATAATAATAAATAAATTTCACTGGAATATGATATTGTTTATCGATTATATATTAATTTAGTTATTGGTCAAATAGTTCGTAGTAATTCTAAAAACGCAGAACTTTTAAAGAGTTTTTGTATTTTGTTCATTTTACGATTTCATTTGCTAGGCAAATCTGAAGATCGCTTTACATTTTTGAAACGCAGATTAAGTAAGTTCTCAACGGAACAAGCGGGGATTTCCAGACCTGATTTGAATCTCCTCAAACAAACATTCAGAGGCTTATCAGGCAGGGCGATTGTACAGGCACATATATTGAAATATATCAACTCTTCTGCTTACGTCAAGCCTCACTTGATTCTGTTTGTGAATACGAATGTGCTATTATATATGGACAGGTGGAAATGTTTACAAAGAGCCAGCCAGCCGTCTGAGTTACGAACTTTCTATTGGACCAGAGCCAGCTGATATAACTTTTTCCCACTTTGCCGTAAGCTTTTCCAGTCGATTCTTTTTTACGATTATCTAAATATGTTTATATTTATATATATGTAGGTTATTTATATATATATATATATATATCGGTGGATCTATAGCGTGCCAAGCTTTTTCAATTTTGTCTTAATTATTATATTTTTTTTCTATTATTATTTGAGTCAGTAAATATTACGCTACCAAATTGCATATTGTTTTCGCGAATTGCCACAGCTGTGTGTGGCCAACTTTTGCTTCAGTTGGTTTCCACCAACTCAACTGCGTAGTAAAAATCATTTATAAATATGATTTTGTTGGCGAAAAAAGCGTTGGCCAGCGATGAAAAAAGATTGCGGTGCTGGCCAAAACTGCAGTTGTGTGCACGATTCTTTTGATTATGGAAATCACTGGGAGAACAAATTAAATATACATATAGAATGAAAAGAAATGAATTGTCAGGGGCTCCTATCACGTGTGCTTGAGATTCCACACGCTTATCGTGGCTGCCAAAAAGCGTGCAAAATATAATAAATTCAAGTGTGTTGTTGTTGGCCACGAAGAAAAGATCCCCTTAACGTGGCTAGAAAGTTTCATGACAATTCAAATTTTCAGATTTATCACACTTCATATCGCTAACACTCCAAGGCAGAAGTATAGCGAATCTTTTTTGAGCTTAGCTAACTTTGCGCCTAAATAATTGTTTGGGAATTTGAAGTTATATTTGTTTTGAGCCCAGCCTGAAAATAGGCAATATTAACTTGTTTTTTGTTGAAATATTCATTACATGACAGTAAATAAAATGTAGATTACTTCACTTGGGACTTCGCTTTTAACTTTGTAATTAACTTTAACTTTAACTTTTATCATTGAATAGAAGTTTTTAATTTACTTTCTTTAATATTATATTATGAAATATAAAAAGATGTTAGATTTTTGTGCATATTTTTGAGTTTTCATATGAAGAGACCTAATTATATGTGTGATAAAGATAAAGAAAAATAATTTTAATTTAAATTTAAAATATATAGAATGTTGATTAACTGCGAGATGGATTTAATATTATATAATTTTATATTTTTTTATAAATATTTCCTTTAGCATAACGCTGGGTTAATGATACCTTGTTATTAAATCTAAAGTTCTAATTTCCAGTCAAAGATTCCACCAATTTAAACTGTTATTACCCACAAATTAATTTGAATATTTTATAACTAAGATGCCTAATGCCTAAATGACTAACTTAACTTTAAGGTTACAAAAAACATTCATAAAAACAAGCCACGAAAAGCTAAGTTATGTAAATACAAAAATCTGTTTGAGATTAATAAACCTCGTTGAGAGGCGAATGACAGCAGGCGAGTGTCTTGGCGAGGGCGAGGAAAGGTAGACCTATTTCCACTCCACGAAAGCTCTTTGTGGCGAAGTCCGCTAATTAGGGAAAGACAATGGACCCTGCAATTAGGGGAGACACCCGATAATGCCACGGGAATAATGCCTGGCGCCTGTGGAATCAGAATGGCAGAGGCGAGGCGACGGCAATCACGCCGGGCTGATGAGGCAAAGTCTGTTGG